TCTCTGACTTTTCCCTGAATTTTTTGGTCAATTTTCTAATTCCCTGACTTTTTCCGGTTTTCCAAGTAGCGTGGTAACCTTACTAATAGCCATTCTGGGTTAACGCTCCTTTGGCGTTAACCCAGAATGGCTCAAATCCTCAAATATTTTTTTCCCTTCTTTTGATGGAGAGAGTTACTTTCTAGAAACTGCTCCACCAATACTTTCCTTAGCTAACAACTGAAAGTTGAGTAGAATTGGTAAGCCATTTTACTGTAGACAATGACATTTCACTTAATCCTTTAACCCCTTAACTGCCGTGGAAAACATACAAAAGTGCAAGTTTTAGTTTCTAAAAACTGTTTACTTTCACAAAATAAAGAATAAAAGGAAAAAATGAATGCCAAATTTAATTTTGAGTAAAGTAAATGAAGATTAAGATAATAAAAATTATTTTTTTATAAAAAAAGATTCCAAAATGGATTTTCGATCAATCTATTTGTAGACCAGTAAAGTTATATCAGTTTCAAGTTATACTTTGTGAAATCATAGCTAAAAAAATATTTCTCGAAAGGTGAATGCCACAATTTTGTTATATTCGTTGAAGGTGTGGTTTTGTAGTAAGAAATCTCAAAACGGTTAGTTTCGTAAAATATGAAGCAGAGCCGTAAAAAATATCAAAAAAGAAAAAGGTTTGAAACATCGTTATATCTTCTTTTCTCGATCTACTACAAAAAGTAAATAAAACGGAGGACACAGATAAAAAAATATTGACTCAAACACACGCAATGCAGCGCGTCATCATTCACCGCTTTAAATATCCCTTCTCAATTTCCCCACACTTCTCTGGAATAGTATCCTCCTTCGCAAACTTAGTCAAGGTCATTGTGGTGTTGCATTCCAAAGCTTTGTGAATAATTTTATGGGTAGAAGTGCAAAGCAAATGATAGTATTTTGGAAGGGCGTACATATACACCCGTGGCAGTTAACGCATCGGCTGAGCAAGGCGTATATATATGCCTGCAGCAGTTAAGGGGCTAAATATTTCACTTAATCCTTTAAATATTAGAGAACTTCCAAGTATGCATATTAACATATACCGAAGATAAAGAACTGTTAGAAGAAATGGTTCATTCAACATGAAGAATTCTAGTAAGCTACCTAGTCATTCAGTAAACTATCCCTAAAACTGTTACCATAGACAGATTTTTGGATCTAAAAGCTAGAATTTTATTGAAAACCAAAATATTTTTATTGTGATCACACAGTCACAGGCACACGTTAAATGATCAGCGGGCACCATGGTTAGGACCCTGACCTATACAATTGAATGAAATTTCAACACCAAGTGCATGAAAAAAATTACAATAGATTTAATCAATTTTGTCAGCACTGAGAATTTCTGTCTCTTTTTGGTTTGAAAATTTTAGCACCAAAATTTAAAATATCTAATATCACTTTTTATATATATAAGTCAATAGCTTTTCTTTATAAAAAAAACTTCTTGGCTCATCAAACTTATAACAATAAGCTTAATTTTTCACCGAATTTCATATAACCTAAATGTATTGTAAGGATCTCGAGAGCGACTCAACACTCGCAAATTTGAAAGAGTTTGAATTCTTGAACCTGGTGCAAGTTCTTTTGCACTAGTGGTAGAGAATTCGACTAGCATTAAACAGACCTAGGATCGAATCACAAGGTCATTACCATCTTCAAGAGTATGTGGAACTCATGCACTTCTGCACTTAAGTGGCGCTAATACATGGTGACATGCGTGAGCAGCTACTCTCTCGAAGACACTATGGTCTCTCGCACCATGTTATTGCTACACTATTAAACTTTGAATAATATATTTTTTCTAAAATAAAATTTGAGAAAAATACTGAATTTGCTTTTAACAAAACCCGAAATTTTAGATTTGAGAAAGTAAAAAATCTGGAATTCCAGGTATAACTAAACAACAGTTACCCTTACTATGTAACAAAGTTACCATATATGTATGACAATAATGTGAAAATATTCATAAAAATTATCAACAGGACATACTATTAATTAAATCTAAAATTAAATCAATTAGATTATAATTAAATTAAAATGGAACTGAAGGTGACTGCCAAGGTTGTTGAACAACAGTAATTCATGAGTTGATGGTCACCAGTATGCATTTGTTTAAGTGTAAAATAAATTTAATAGCAGTAAATTTAGATAGCTAATTATAATAAAATTAAACCGAAACATATCAACGATTATCAGGAGTGTTGGTACAGCAGCCTATGGCTTGAGCTCACCAGTTTGAGGTGATGTAGCAAATATTGATATCCCCCCCCAAAAAGTTAATTATATACACATCACAAAATAATACAATCTCTTATTTCTGATCATGCAAGCATGTGGCAACTCTAGAAGTGGTTTCAGATACTTCTAACATTAGGATGATATTTTCTTCTTCTTTTAATTCCTTTTTAATGTCCTCTCTCTCTTTTTTAAAAAAAATTAAGGGACAGTGGAAACTGCTTGTCAACTTTGATCTTGAGATTGGCCTCTGCATGCAAATAAAGGAATATATAGGGAGATCACCAAAAATGGAGAATTAGATAACAATGAAATACAACTCATCATCTTTCACCTTCAGTTCCATTTTAATTTAATTATAATCTAATTGATTTAATTTTAGATTTAATTAATAGTATGTCCTGTTGATAATTTTTATGAATATTTTCACATTATTGTCATACATATATGGTAACTTTGTTACATAGTAAGGGTAACTGTTGTCTTCTAACTTATCGAAATTCATATGGAAGCAGAGACAAGTCACAAAACACAGTAATTTAAATGGGAGTGGTAAAATAAATTGAATGATAATGATAACTGCCACTGGTGACTTACAGGCTGATGCATATCTTATTTCTGCAAGCATTTATTTAGTTTGAATCACATTTGGTGATTTATTACCTTTCTTTCTCCTAGCTACCATGAAATCTTTTTGGGTTTTATTAAGTAATACTTGTGCTTCGATTATAATACATTAGACATTTATTACAATTTTTTAACTATTGTATTTCAGAGTTTACTTTTCTGCATTAAGTTTATCATATACATACACTTTCTAGAAAGGGGAGAGGACAACAGATTATGAATTTACATCACAATTTCTTGATTTAATAACTAATAATGAGTAACCATTAAGAAATGTAGAGAAGCCCAAGCAATAAAGACCGCAAATTATCACAGACAGAACCACATGTTTCATAAAGTTAACTGCTACAAAAAATGAATTATTATATTATTCCATATGTAAGATAACTTCAAACGTAAGCTAAGCATTTTTTAATGTCAAATGCATTGAAAACAAAAGATTTGCATTTAAAGCTCCTTGCATTCAAGATTCAAGCTCGAACTGTAGAAGATGTAAAATTGAGGTGATAGCACATAAGATTGGTACAAATCTCAAATAAATCTCTGTCAATTTTGAGGGGGTTGACATAACTCCTCTTCATTAGGAGGGAAAAACATTTGCAGCTGAGGCAAAGTGAACAGTCACATAAATAAGGAAATGAATTGATGGGATAAAAACAAAATAGATATAATGTCATTTATTGAGTAAAGAAAGAAACTGAAAGGAAAAATCAAAGATAAGGCAAAGCTTTCGAAAACTTTAAAAAAAACTGGACAGAAAAGAAAATGTTATTAATGCAAGTAAATTTTTGAGAACGTGAAATGCTTCATGCAAATCTAATTCACAAGTTTAAAAAGCTTTGTAGATAATTTCAGCAGAACTAAAGCTAAATTTTAGTTGATGTTCACTTTATTATGGAAGAACATGATAACTATTTGTTTTAAAATTCAATTTGAGAGACCGATTATAATGAACACTGAAAAGTTACTTATTTGCCCTTTTAAAAAGTAGAACTTCATCTCCGCAATAAAAAAGTTCAACATTCTCTCAGTCTGGCCCTAAACTGTAGTTGCTATTTAATTAATTATGGAAAAGAATACGATTGCTACTTGCTTCAAAATTGGGTTTAAGCTACCAACTATAAAATATTTATTTATTTCTCCTTTTTGAACATGGATTCTGATCATAAAAAAATTTAATTTTTCATTACCACAATTTAATTAGTACCAGATTATCTACTATTGCAACTTGGTCTTATGACCTAAACATGAGATTAAATATAATTTTAAAACCACTTACTTTACAGCATCCTTCCAAAACTGGGCACTTTTCACAGATTTAAAAACAGTTTTAGTTGTTTGAGTTGTATTCTGCAAGATTTGGAATGTTTTCTCACCAGTATGCCACAAAGGGTTCATGCCATTAATATCAGTTTCCAATTCATCAGAAAGCTAAAGTGCAAGTGGAAAGAAAAAATTCATTCATAACTCCAAATTTCACAAATATCTCAATTTTATAAAAGTTTCATAATGAAATTTTTTAATAATGTAATAAATAAAATATGTGTCTAAAATGCTACAAATGTAAGTATAGTCAAACTGCGTCTCTGTAGCTTGTGGTGTAATGAGCAATTGCTTTATTTTTGAAACACCATTCTTATATGAAATAAAAATCATGAAATGGCTCTTTTTTAATAATAATTATTTTACGCTACATTAATTGTAAATAATTTCAAAATGTATGTTGTTTCTGCAATTTATTGCTGCAACAATACTAATTTTAGGATAAATAAGGATAGTTGAACAGCAAAAAAAAAAAGGGCAAGTATACTTGTAACATGTTGTGATAATGATGTACAATAATAATTATTTTACGTTATAATTATTTTAAATAATTTCAAACTGTATGTTGTTTCTGCAATTTATTGCTTCAACAATACTAATTTTAGAATAAATAAGGATAGTTGAAACAGCAAAAAAAAGGGGGGGCAAGTATATTTATAACATGTTCTGATAATGATGTACACCCATGGTTCTCAATCTGTGGCCTGCGGAACACTTATGGTACATGAAGCCACTTCAATTGTTGCTAAAAAAATCAAATAGACAATTAAAAATTGTTGCAAAAGAAAATTCTGTGCAATATGTATTCTATATATGGGATTTTAATCAGCAAACGAGAATGATGACTGCTTTATAAAAGTAATGCTTTGAAGCAGAGACAGCTAACCTTCCATCCACCAGCAACACCAATTCATTTTCACCAGCAACACCATTTAATTTTCCCTTCTCTTCAGAACAGTTACTTTTGCAAGAAATGTTCCATTTTTTGGGCCCATTGCATCCTTAATTTTGAAAAGCTTTGCTCCCTACTTTTAAGCTTATAACTATTAACAGCGATCCAAAAATTTATAGAATTTTCTACTACAGAAACTATCTACTTTTGAGTCCCAGGCTCCACAAAAGCAGTTATTTTAGCAAAGTCATATTGTACATTAAAGATTTCCAAATAAAGATGCTTTTATTTACAGCATATATTCTTCCAAGCTAGTCAAAATAAAAAATAAAAAAATTAGAACAACAATATACTGAAATTATATATTGTTGTCACACAAATTATATTATTATTGGATTTTTATTGGTGCATTAAAGGGGTTAAGTCTGAACATTTTTTACCCCTTTCACTCTAGCTAGAGGATCATTCACCTTTTCTTTCCAAAACACAAAAAATACATATACATTATTTATTTAAATTTAGATTATTTTTTAATGTGATTTATAAATTTTCGCAAAAAAAAAAAAAAAAAAAAAAAAAAAAGGTTGATGGTGGTCTGGAGGTTAGAATTTTAGATCATTTCAGATATTGGATACTGTACATAAAGATTATAAATTTCTTTATTTCTTACTAAAGCTTGACACTTAATGGAGTTTTGATTCTAATAACGTCAATAACCCTGTAAAGAAATTACTAGAAATTTTCTTCATCACGGATTGGAGATGCTCATGGGGTTCTTTTCTTATTAATTTTCAACCAAGCAAGAAAAAGCAATTCACATACCAATGTATTTAAAAAAAAAAAGCAATCATTCTTGATGCAAACATTCATAATTCAGCTCCTTCATGTTTTGACAACTGCAAATCAAAGTTAAAATCCCTATGTTCAAGTTTTTGAATAAGATTTATATATTATTCAATTAAGCACTCAGAAGTGTAATTTCCCCCGGGCTGTTATTTTGTTTGATAGCAAAGCCGCTTTGCAGGCCATCTCCAACAATAAATTTTGCACTTCCGAACAAAGTTACAAATGTAGGAAGATTCTGGCCAACTCAATTGTCTTGCAGTGGCTTCCTGTTCATTGTGGCATCGAGGAAAATGAAACAGTCGATTTCTTGTCAAAGGAATGATTATTCTACGAAACACTATTAACCATATGATTTTCAATTATGTAAAACTCCTAATTAATTATAATTTAAGAGGAGATCTGCCTCCTCTCTATCAAACGAAGCTAAGGGAAAGGCCTGGAGATGTCTCATTAGTTCAAAGCTAGTTATTCCAAATTTTCCTTCTCCCGTAGCTGTGGTGTTATTTCATCTTTTGACTGGACACAATTGTCTGAATGCCTATCTTTTTAAAATTCATCTTAAGGACTCTTCTGTCTGTACTCTTTGTAACTCTGGACAGTCCATGGATAAGGAGCATATTGACAAATGCACTGCACTAATATCTTTCAACTCCATTATTCTTAAACATAGAAAAGCAAGATCAAGACTAATGGGCTAGTAGCCAAATATCTCACATTTGTATAAATAAATATAAATTGCAAATTAATAAATTCTTTACAGATTTTCAGGTGCACTGTTCATGTTAATTTTGAACAGCAATGAAAATAGAGTAATTCAATTTTCAAATAACTGACATCTGTAAATCTTTGGAACAAATACATAATTGAAATGCATCTGAGGGCCACATAGAATTCCTTTGTGGAACTGCCAGCTTCAGAACACAGCATAAACACATTTGAGATACTTTAGAATTAACTTCTAGCATGGCCTAATGTCTAACAATAGTTTTCTCAGAATGAACAAATAGACACAGACAATGATAAGTAGCAAATCTTTTCTTAGCAAGATGTAGATACCACTGTAATTTTCAAATTATCATACATTGAACTCTTGATTTCTAGGATGTTGGATTAATAAAAATGGGCATATCTGATGACCTATAAGAAGTCCTAATTTTACACCAATAGGTTTTTTTTCTTCTAGAACTTTGCCAAAATTCAGGTTTACAATGAAAGAACTGGTAATGTTAATAACACCCCGAAGAAAAAAAAAAAAAAAAAAAAAAAAAAAAATCACTCAAGCATTTGCAAATATTAGTAGAGACCGCTACCACGAATTGATTTTACAATAGAACATTATTTAGGTTTAAAAAAAATAATTATAAACAGGGTTGATTTAACAAAATCAAAAAATGAAATAATTAGTAGAGAACACTGCTACCACTGAATTGAATATTACAATGATAACAATGATTTACATTTAAAAATTATATCAGGCAGCTAAATGAAATAAATATTCTAGGTTGACATGGTGAAACCAGGTTTAAACAGATATAAAAGTAAACCTCTACTTTTATGTACATTTAAAAATGGTTTCAGTTAGTAGTTCACATAGTGAAATTTACTAATTTTGATACATATCTTGTTGACAAAAATAAATACATATTAAATTTACACAAAATACAATGCAGGTTAAATTTTATAGCTTTTGCTGTATTAATGACATAAAATTAATTAAAAAAATATTACAAAATTTTCAGACTTGCTGGAAGGCAGGTGAATGACATCATCACCCATGAGATATTTGACTCTCCCTTGCAATACCTTAAAAAAAAAAGTTCACATGATACAATTTCTAAATATACCTAAGTTACTCATCAGTATTCACAATTTTTAGGTATCACATTAAAGCATGTTTAAATGGGAACATAGTCCAGCTTAAAAAAGATAGTTATATACTTAAACATACAATAATTCTATAAATTTATAAACAAGTCTACAAATATACATTTCTAATAAGATGTAGAACTGTCAACTTCACTTATAGTGGCTTGGTTTATTTGACTATGGCAATTACTATTTATTACAATTTATTTTATATTTGACTATTTATTACATCCAAAATATTTCCACTTGAATTGAACAACTATTAATAATGATGAAATAATATGCATATAATATACATCCATTAAATTAAATAAATAACATTTATTTTACATTACCTAAATTTGCATGAAAACAGACCATTATGAGTTGCAATTTTCTACAAACACTTCTGAAAACATAGTCTTCCCACAGTTTAATAACAATTCAGCTATTTAACACTTGATTCTACATTCTCTATGCACAGTCCTAAAACTTTAGTGCATTCTGTAACGATTCAATATATTTTTCAAAACTGGAGGTATTTTTCAGTACTGCCTTCTGATCATGATTCTTTTTCTTTTTACTTCCTTGTACAAAGTAAAAAGGAAGTACTGCAATCACGAAAAATTCCGTATTTGCGACAAGGCAAAAATGTATAAAACCTTAAAATATCCTCGTAATCACATAAAATTTTAATCACAAAATATTCCAACAAAAATATCCAATTAAGAATGCATTTTAATGATGCTTTTGCGTGACATCTGTACATAAGGACAGGGTAAAGGACTCTTTTCCCCCAAACGGTTTATAAAATTGATTTTAAATGGATTCAGAAGAGATACTTTTGCAACGTCTGTACGTAGGCACGTATGTACCTCACATCGTGTAGCCTAGAACTTTGAAATTTTCTATATAGGGCTGCTATAACGTCCAGTTGTGCACCTTTTTTTTTTAATCGCAATTGGCTGTACCAAAAGTATATACAGTCAAATAACGAAAACCCGCCGACCTGAAATTCGCATTACCTCTCAAAATATAAACATTTAGTTTATAGGTTTCGGAAACCACAACATTGAAAAAATACTTACCGAATAATGACATCATAATTACCGAATGATAATGAGTCATAATGGAAATACCAAATTATTAACATTAAAAAAAGTTAAAAAAAAATAAGATAAAAGTTTTTTTTTTTCTCTAATCTCTGCATTGAGGTAACAAAGCAGACAATTCACTCAACTCTTTGCTCAAGTTCATGATTCACGTTGTTGTATTTTCTGAGCTTTGTTATTATTCACGAGATTGTTTAGTGCTGCCTTTTTTTTATCCTGATATTTTGTGGATAAATTAAGATTATTTTAAATTTCAGCCCTTTTTAATACAATGACAGAAAAAAACGCATTCATGATTTTACTGCTTGCAACGTTGAAAAACGTAAACATGCTGCATTGACGGTAACGCAAAAAGTGCAAATTCTGTAAAAGATGGAGGCAGGTGCTACTCCTCGATTTATAGCAGAATGGTATGGAATTGCGACAAAATTGTGTATGATATATGGAAAAATAAAAAGCTGTTGAAATTTTACAGCAACAGTGATTCTAACAACGGAATCTGAACGGAATCTTTGCATGAGCGAACAGCAAACCTCGATGCTGTTTACATAGTACTGATAATATAATCATTTATATATGTAATAATAATTATTGCATAATGTATAATAATAATTAATTAATCTTAATATGATGTTGTTGCTACTTTTTTATCCGAAATCGCTTTATCTTTTTACGGGCTCCAATTCCCCTCTGTTGCTCGAATTAGTTTTGTTTAAAAATGATTGAGTCATATTGTTCTTATCTTCTGGTTAAGGTTTTTATGCCTTTAGTTAATCTTAATAATGCAATAATTGTAGAATTATCAACAATTTAGTACCTGTAAGTAACGTAGTTGACATTTATTTACATTTGAAACTCTTCAGTAGAATAGTGATCTAAGTCAGTTTCTGCCCCTTCAGGATATTTTTGCCAAGTGGGACCAAAGGTAAACTTTCAGTTTTTATCCAAAAAAAAATCTGCCTTTTTCCCTGCTAACTGAATGGCTTATTTTTGCATAGAAACTCTAAATTTAATTGTAAAAATTGCTTTTATTTGTTTGAACTACATTTGGTGTTTTATGTTTCCCTATATTTTTCAATTTCTAACGAAGATATTTTGAAGTTTTATGCATTTTTGCCTTGTCGTGAAGTCGGAACTGAATTAACTGAAAGAGAACCTATCTCTAACGAATTTCGAGGAAATAAGTTTAAATGAAATGCAGCAAAAATGTGTATAATTTAATATTCCATATAAAGAAGTCATGTGGTGTCTGCATCAGATTTTTTTCCATGATGGCACTTGTCTTTGTCTTCAGAAGAGTTTCACATTACAAAATTTCAGTCACTATATGAAATGCTCAGCTTCATTGAAATTTGCATGGCTCGATTCACTTCAAATTTCGTACCATACAGCATTTAAATGAACCTTCCTGAAAATATTTAGTGATCTTTGATTCATTATTGCTAGAGCACCAGCAGCACTAAAACAGGCTTTTACATCTCTAGAGAAGGAAGCTCTCAGGATGGGCCTGAGAATTAATGAAAATAAAACAAACTATATGCCATGCACTAAAAACAGACTTCAAGGACACTCACTTAGAAATTGGAGAATATAAATTTAAAACTCCTTCCCACATTTTAGTCTCTGAAATTAACAACAGGAACAATATTGTTACAAAATGTCCAGCTGTGGTAAGATAGTTTCCCCGCAAAGCAGGTTTAAAGTTGCCATAAAATGGCAGGGGAAGCCAGGGTTGCCATATTTGGCATGAAATCGCCCATTTGGCAATATGCCATAGACGAATAGAGAACCTTCTGGAACAATTCTCACTGGTTTGGCTCAGAATGCTCTTGAACACAAGCCAAACGCTATACAAACCCTGATGGTACACAGAGTTGAGAGTCAGATAATAGTCGAGTCAGTGAGCGAGTGTCTCGTAGTCTAGTGCCGAGTTGGTTGTCGAATGCACAGAGAGAGTCTCTTAGTGTATCGCAGGTTAGTGCATCGTTGAGTTTCGTCTTAAAGTGTGTTGAGCTCCGAGAATGACCAAACCAAGTCGGGAGCTGTACTTTTGTGTACCATCGAGTGCATTGCGAGTTGTAGCATGGAGAGTCTTGAGGGTATGTAGAGTTCCGAGAACAACTAAGCAGACTCAGGGGCTGTACTCTGGTGCTTTGCTATGAAGCTATCTTCACCGTTATAGCCTGAAGGCTGTGTCATTGATTGTTTGTGCGTTTATAGTAGTTTTTTGGCAACTGTAAACAGGAGCTGTCCTGAGTAATACTGGCTAATGAATTGTATTTCAATACTTCATCAAGTGTGGTCATATTCTCACCAAATCCACAAACCCATATGTAAGAAAAACTTAACAATATTATTACAGAAATACAATGCTTCAGTGGAATACAAAAATATATGAAATGAAGTGTAATTCAAAGAAAAACCAACGCTTTACAGTATAAGAGCCTTACAAGACCAATTTTGATATAAGCACGTGAAACTTGGGCCATGATGTGCACAAATGAGGACATGTGCATTTTTGAAAGGAAGGCTTTTAAGTATTTTTGGAGGAATATAAAAAGATGATGCATGGGTTAGTGGATCAGATTTGAAGCTATATCACTCATATAATGAACCTAATGTCATTAACTTTGTTAAATGCCAAAGAATAAAACGGACAGGCCACGATATCAGAACAGATGAAGATCATGCAACAAAAAAGACTTTAGTACCAGAGCAAGAGGAGATGGAAAAATAGCAGACCAAACCAAAGATAGGTAGACTGCCTAGAAAATGACCTACTGGTCTTAAAAACTGAAAACTGGAAAATGCTAGCAGGATGAAGATTGGCCTGGAAAAAGCTTTTTGAGAAGGCCAAGGCCCACTCTGGGCTGTCGGGTCATTTAGGAAGGAAAGAAGGATCACTGATGCATTCTCCACATTTTGCTAGCAAAAAGAACATTTTTCTGAATATTTATTGATGTGCTCTGCTTTGATTCCGAGGCTTCAGATAAATCAAGTATTATTTTCCTTCTCTAATAGGCTTTTAAAATTACAAATTGTACACTGACTTGTGAGTTGAAGGACTAAAGTGGTGTTTGCAAACAGTAATATTAATTTAAACGGTTTTGAGGTTTTCAATATGAAGATGAGTTAGACATTGTCCATCTGAAGTAGCATTTTTCTTTCTTTCATTCACAACTATTGACTGCACTGACAAAATTCTTCCTGAAAATTTGACAATTCATCTAGAATTTATTTTATAGCTAATAAATTGTTGGGAGCCCCTTGATACTTGTAAAAAAAAGTCAGGCTCTTACATTTTTCTATTAAAAGCAGTTTCTTCATCTTTGATACCCTAGCCTAGTGGTCTTCAACCCGTCGCCCGGGCCCCACACTTAAATTTGAAGAAGAATTGAAGAATTTTAAGGAATTTTGATTTCAAGAAAAATTACCTTGTCAGCTTTTTGTCATGGAAAACTTTTTTTCTCTTATTCTTGATATTTAAAACATTTTATTGACATGCCTGATATTATTTGAGATATAATTTCCTGAAAATGACGAAATTTTCAAAAATTATACTTTATCTTATGTAATATGTGTTCCAACTTAACTTCAATTAGAATTTATAGATTTACAGTGTGACTCTGCAGTGAAATGCAAGTTTCTTGAAAATCCTACATTAATTGATTTTTATTTGAAGTATGTGACCGAAATCTGTAACACTATGTCTTCGCTTAGAATCAATTGCACATATCTGAAAAAACTCGTCAGTTTTTTCGTACATTTTTAAAATACTTTTCCCTTTTCAACTTGAATATTTTGAAACATTAATTCATGAATTAGCTTTTGGCAGAAAAAGGTGAAAAGAATCTAAATAACTTTCTTTTGTCCTTCACAGCACTTAAGAACTATGTAGTAAGTTACAGTAGTCTTTTCATCACGTTCTTTCAAATATTTCTGAGAAAGTTTCCTCCGAGCTAAGTAACAATATCTAAATTTTCTCCGTTCACAATTTTCAATGACACAACTGCTGGGACAAAATGTTTATTTTTGAAGCTAGTGTGATACTTTTTGCTTTTAAAAAGCCCTTGCAATTGATACTTATGTTGTTCATTTCTGAAGTTAAATTCAGAATAATTTATTGATGTTTGGCAAAATATATGCTCTCAGCTTTTCTCTTCAGATTCCAAAATGTTAATGCCTGTAGTTTCTGTGCCGTTTGAACTCTAGAACTATTTTGCCAGGAAGTATTCTTCATTAGCAGTGGACATAACAATAGCTGTAAGAATTTAAAGTAATGTTACAGGAATTAAGAATTCTAATTTCAATTTCTAAACTGCATATATGTTATGTAATACTCTGATAGCATCCATTCTTTTATCTGGTTTTAAATTCCGAAACGATTCATGAGTGCATTTATTAAAATTCCTTTTTTACCAAAACTTTCTTTCAGAATACTTATTGCCTTGTCATAATTTTTGCCAAATAGAGTTAAGCTTTTAATTTATATTAAATATGTATCCACTAGTAAAGATTTTGAGGCAATTAAATTTGTTTACATCTTTTAAAGCAGAATTATTATGCAAGGTATCCTGTATTTTCTATTTCATACTCTTTTTTGTCTGTAACTGCAGATTCAATTTAAGTGTTTAATTTTAATATATCACTTTCATTTTCATTTAAGTTCTCTTCTAATAAAGCAAATTTAATAATATCCGATTCCATTTCATTTTCACGCTTAACGACCGGTCTTGTAAAAGATGCTTTTAGGATTCCACGTTTCTTTGTTTAGTGCTTTTAACTTACCCATCTTATAACCAATATTCACTGATTAAAATAATAAAAATGCTTAAATCATAATCTGTTTAAAGGTCATTGGTAACACGGGTCTCGGCACCATTTTGTTATCACAGAAGATTATGATTCAGTGAAGTTAAGGGTTGTATTTGACACTTCCTCACATGCTCATGACAGTCTATTTTTAAGAGGTTGCTTGCATTCAGGACCAAATTTTAATCCTGAATTATTAGATTTGCTGATTAATTTTTGTCAACTTCAAACAGCATTTGCCAACACCAGAATATTCATCTCGTTTCTGTCATTGCCATTGCTTATCAATCAAAAAATCTGAAAAAGCTGCACCCTTTTGTGGCTATTAACATGAAATTAGAACAGTATGTACAACATTATATGTATATATATATATAGTTATATAAATTTAAAATAAAGTAATTAAAAGTAAATTAAAAAGGCTATGACTTGCGGTAAAGCTGCAAAGTAATAAATCAATAATTCATAATAATTTATAGTAAGAAAACTTAGTCACTATCAAAATATAAACAGCATTGTGATAGATAAATCCAATAGCTGTACTCAATATAATTAGTTTGTAAGTTATTTTAAAGAGCTGGGCTTAAAATGTAACTATCATATATTATTAGTAATTAAAACCATAAAAATATTTATAAAAGAGTGAAACAATCACATCCTATTTACCTGCAACTGCAATTCTGTTCGACTTTTCATTATTGCTTTCATCAAGTCATCAGAACAATAGGCGAGGGAAAATGATAATAAATCAGACCTAGAAATAATAATAAAGAAAGCCATTGAAGAGAGTAAAATAAAAATATAAGGAATTTGCTAATAAATAACAATAATAATAAAACAGAAAAGAGATAGCAGAAAATAAATCAGGAATAAAAAAAGAATTACAAGGGGGAAAAATTAAAAACCGTTTTGAAATGCTTGAGCTTTACAGAAATAAAATGATCAAGAATAAAAAATAGTTTTACAGCATATAAAGAATAAATAATACAGCAAAACTTTGAAAAGAATGTTTTGGGGGGGGGATATAATGAATCAGAGTTGGAAAAGAAGTTAACTCCTATCTTTTTAATTAATTTAATTAAACAAATTATGATTGTTTTATTCGGTAGTAATATAACTTGCTTGCAGAAAAGACACAGCATATTTAGTACATGGACTCGGGACATGCATTTACTACAGTTGTTAAAACACTAACGAACTGAAAAAATCAATGCTAGTCAATGGACACTATAGCATTTTCAGCTTTTATTAATAGATGGTGCCATCACTACATCCTTTTATAAATACGACTATATTCTCATAACAAGATGTTAGTAGTATACACCATTGCTATGAATTTTTGCTTGTCTCATTGTTCAAAAAAAGAAAAAGAGAGAGAGAGAGAAAACGGCGTCTGAAAACCTCTCAAAAGGGTTAAAATAATATATCATTATTTTCATGACATACAAATTGTTTATAATGCTCTTCAAATTAATATTTAACAACTGTACCTTTACATATTACAAATATCAGTAAATTAAACATTTGCATTTTTACAATGCTTAAAAAATTCCTCCTAATAATTACACTTATCACATTTTTTTATAAAAGATTTCATTAATGGCCTTGGATAACAACCTTGATTTTTGAAAAGAAATAGTAAATTTCATTTGAATTTATAATTAATAAAATAGAGACAGAATTTGACCTTTAGGTGCAATTCTGCAATGCTGCTTTTACAGTGTTTAACATGTTAATGCAAATTGTTATTTAGGTGCTCAATTTAAAACGATATCTCTTAAAGATGTATTTCTCTGTACATGAAAACTCACGGCAAATAAAACTTTTGTCTACAAATATTTTATACAATAATTTTATAAAAACAAGGTGACTTTAATCCTAAACATCCTCTTTGAGACCTTTCTTATGCAAACCTCAGTGGGATTCAAGTATGTGATTTTTTAGTTGCCTCACATTTTATGTTATGCAGTGACTTCAACAGTCCAGTGACATACACAGCCTCGAAGTGAGTCATGGATATATCTTACTATGGTAAAAATCCATGGAGATTTCTGTATTAATAACTGGAATATTAGTTTAAGTGACCACCAGATTATTTCATTTGAATTAGACAAAACCTTAATTCCGCAAAGTAATAAACAGAGAATGAAACTGTATTAGACTCATGAGGTTCATGTACTTATTTTTAACTAATATTTAATTTTAAGTTGAAAGACTTTCCTATCACTCTCTTTTCACCCATGCTTTTCATGCCAGATGTAAATGATGTAACAAGCATTTATCCAGATTAAGGTAGAAATAAGTGCTATTTAAACAAGAGTTCAGAAGTTAAAGTGCATCTGCCTAGTTCAGGCCACGTTGTGCTGCGAGTTATTAGCGATTTGATTCTGTGGCATTGAATGCTTCTTGCTATTTGGCTTGTCTCACCAGTTTTTCTACAAACCAGAGCCTTTCCTGCGCATTAAACTATTCTGTGAGCCTTTAGGCTAATCTACCACACTTGAAATAGGTTAATATAATGTATTTCTGTTAAGCCAGAAGTGCTTGGCTTGTGTAAATGCAAGTTGGGTAATTGTTAATTTTGTATTCGAATAAAAGGGCTATTTACACCCTTCTTCTCGCTTTGTCTGTCTGCAGCTTAAGATAAGAGGATTATTTCTCTGTAGTCTTTCTAAAGTTCACCACTTTATACTATCTAACCCCTTCGCGCTGGGTAGTGCAAATGCGCGCTTATCGCGGAGGCTGGCAGTGTCTTACGCGAGCGTCTGTCCAGGGCCGGTGGCTTTTTTTTCTATTAAGCCTAAATCCATGAAATTTCCGAAGTATCAACGCATTGTTTAATAATGCTCTATAGAGTATTTAAATGGCTTATGCTTTATAGATATTTTTATATATACTTTAATTACCTTATTTCTTGTTTATTTTATTTTTACACATTTTATTTTCATTACTCACCATTTTATGACTTTTAACATTATACATCTGAAAACTAAATATATTACTTAAAATTCTCTTTTCGTATGAAAAATTTGAAAACAGGGATCTACACACAGTCCTACGTTACATTCCTTGCACTCGTAATAACTCATTTGCCGTTTTGGAGGATTTTTTCCGGGAATGTGAACAAACGAAGCATCGTCGTCTCATTTTCTTATCAGTCTCTTCTGAACAAAGTTTTGGAAAATGTCTTTCAGTTAATCTTTCAGAATCAATATCAGAATATCAGAATTTCAGAATCAATATCTGAAATATTTTGCATCATTTCTGCTATTTCATGCTCTGTTAAACATTTTTGACGCTTCGACATTGCAACGGTAAAAAACAAAAGAATTCACGTCTAACAAGATCTAATTATTTTCTAAATACTGAACTGCAAACCGAAATACCTAACACTTTAGCGAAAATAAAACTTCTCTACTTACAATAAACAACTACCACATGCGAATTTAAAGAGATGTCATAAAGCACGCCATTCGTAAAGATTTATTTCCCCTTTTGTTTATATAATCAAAAACACGTGTATGTGAGTCATGCTTCTCTCATTTCGAGTAGAAGGTCTAATGTACACTGGTGTGCAAAAATTAAGGACGAGACGGTTTTTTCAATATAACTTTGTACAAAAGCTTTCCAAATCAACACATTTAATACCGTAAGATCCCCAATACGTAAGGACGTGAGTAATGTAAGCAACACTTACTAAAAGAGAAATCAGAGGGATAAAAAAAGCTTTATTTGAAAAGTAGCATGGAGCGCAATGCGACCGAAGCCGAAACATCCCTGTGATGTGTCCAGCAAGAAACATCCGGTCTTTAAAAGGGGATATGATCTCCCCTGACTGCTAGGCAGGTTTCACAGCATCTGCCCATCTTGAGAATGAGGGTGTCAATTGTTGAGGCATTGCTGCCCATTCATCTTGCAGCGCCAATCGAAGCTCCGGAATCGTTACTCTGGCGGTAAGGTACGAGCTGCCAAGCGTCTGCCTAGAAATCCCATATATGCTCGATGGGATTGAGATCCGAGATCGTGTCGGCCAATCCATATGTTCAATATCCTCACTCTCTAAGAGCTGTTCGGCAGCTACTGTGCGATGATGGTGCATTGTCGTCCATGAAAAGGAACTGTGGATCCAGCGCCTCTAAAAGACGCACATATGGAAGAAGAATCTCGTTACAATAACGGGTCCCGTTGACTGAACCTGCGTCGAAGGTGTGAAGGTCTGTACGACTACCAAGCATGATGCCTCCCCAAACGAGAACACGCCACCTCCATCCTGTCCCTTTCAATGATGTTCGAGGGATGATTGCGGCTTCCCCCTCCTTCTCTCCCAGATGAGTATGCGATGAGAATCGCTACTCAGACCGAATCTGTTCTCATCTGTAAAGAGTACTCGTCCCCATTCATTGTCTCTCCAATTCCGGTGTTCCCGGCACCACAGAGAATGCCTTCTCCGATGGGCAGGCGTTAGAGGCACACACCGTACAGGGTGTCGTGCAAACAGACCACCACCGTGCAGTCTTCTGGCCACGGTAAAACGCGATATCGGTCGTCCAGTCGCCTGTGTCGTGTGTCTAGCGATTTCTCCCACTGTCTGCTGCCTGTTTCTTCTGGCCTGTAAGGCAATATACCGGTCATCTGCGGGGTGGTTTTCTCGTGGATGACCACTACTAAACCCCCGGATAGCTGTTCCTGTAGTTTGAAATTGTCTCCAAATCGTGAAACGATGCTGGAGCAATTCCGACTCTGCAGCCACACTTGTCACACTGCGGCCTTCCTCCAACTTCCCAATGATTCGACCTCGGGTAAAAGATCAGATGTTGTCTAACAGATTGATATTCGTCATTTCTCGCGGAGCAACAACTTGTGTGATTTTAACTGCTATACAGCGTGCAATCTCTTTGCCAGAAATACTTATATTACACCGACAACATGCTTTATACTACTCAGACACTTCCCCATTACGTCTACCTGCATATCTGCGCACGTGCTACCGTACATCACCTTACTTAATCTCCTGATTGGTCTTTCTGTCCGCTCTGCCTCTTCGTTCAGCTGATATGCTAATTTTTCGACTTTGTCCTTAATTTTTGCACACCAGTGTACATGTATCTGAAACCATATGACCTACGTGCCATCTGTGGCAGAAATTTATATTTTTAAAACGTCCAGGACAATGGCACAAATACGTGCCAGTCAAGTAACGGGAAAATGCTCTGGCAGCTGCTTCGGCTGGAAGGAGGTGTTCGTTGCTGGCACGTAGACTGACATAGGCGCGAAGGGGTTAGAGGTTAAACTTACAGATGATTGGATGCCTTAAGAGAAATTATTTACTAACTTCCAATAACTGGAGATTTAAATACAAAATCAATAGACAAATAATTATACAGATTCGAGTACATAATCTGTATAATATACAAAAATTATAAATAAATTTTCCAAAAAATTCCTAGGTCACTACTGGACAAAGAATACATTGAGTATAAAGTAAGTGACTGAATCAAGATATCAGAGTGAACTTGAAGGGCTGGACAGAAATAGTCTACATATCATTACAAAAAAAGAAGAAATGTTCATAAATGTATATTCATAAAACCAGGCTAATTAGGAAAATTTAAAGAAATTTTTCAAAATTTTAAGTCACATGCTTGCTGGACAAAGAATTAACCATTGAAAGGATAAAGGTAAGTGCACTGAGATGAAGATATCAGAGTGAAACTTGAAAGGAGCTGGACAGAATAGTCTACATATCATTTACAAAAAAAGAAGAATGTTTTATAAATGTAATATTCATAAAGCCAAGGCTAATTCTGGAATCATTTTTGGGAAAATCTTTTACCCAAGTCACTATTTAGCACTTAACTACAATTTAGAAAAAGGAAAAAGCATCTCCTTTGAACTTTATCAAATAAAGAAACAAGATGGTTCATTAACAATGGAAGACAATGAGGAAAAAAATGTATCATGTTTTCTTTCCGTCTGTTGTATATGTTGCATACATTTTCTTTCCTTACACTATTATTTTATTACTTTATATGTTTAACAAAGGACCAATGTGTGCTGTTTGATGAAATTAACCAAATTTCCAGTCAAGTGCAGTTAATCATATTAATGCTCTCAGCCTTATGACTGCATATGTTGGATGGATGGCTAATCAATTGTTTTGGCAATTTTGACACGGGATTTAAAATTGTCTCCCTGCAGTGTCTTCAAAATATGAACAGATACCAATTACTTTAATTTATTAAGAGGAAGAGAATAGACTAATAACCTCTGCTTTGTTATACAACAGCAAAAACAAAGGCCTGCATTGCATTATGTAAAATATAAATACTTTTGCAGCAAAAATTGATCCTAAAAGATTCAACTACAAATTAAAAAAAAAAAAAAAAAAAAAAAAAAACACCCGTTATATGTGATATGCAGTGTTCGTGCTAGGTTTTTTTGTTGCCCGATGAAGATTCGTAGATTCTACTCCTCAACGGTTTCCTGAATTTTACAAATTTTGCTGCCCGATGCAGCTGCACCCGTTGCATATTCTTTGGTGTCCAAATGATACATAAAATACATATATCCAAATACATATGTCCAAATGATACATAAAATACATATAAATTTGTAACACAAACGTACCTAGATGGAATGTCATCAAATTCATTACATTCACCTAAAGCGTAGCAGATCATCCATCCTTCTTTGTGCACCCCAGCCATCAGTTGCTTACATGCAGATAGACATTCCTTGTAATCTTTACACTAAAAAATAAATAAATAAAATAAATAAATTAAAAAAATATAAAAAAGAAAGAAAATCGAAAGCTTCAGATTATATATTACACACCTAAAGAGTTTTTTTTTTTTTTTTTTTTTTTTTTAAGTTTCATGTGTTGCCTTTATTTATTAAATATTATCAGTTTTTCATACTTAAACCACATAAATTCAATTCAACAGCAATATCACAAAATATTTGAAAACAGCATATCTTTAGAATTCCTGACACACTGTCTCGCACGCTGGTGATAAAAACGTTTTTTAGCATCATGTGTTGTCACTGCTCCCTTTGAAATCATTGAGTTTGATAATAAAAAAATTTGTTACAGTTTTACAAAATTTGAAATAGATATAAAAACAAATTCTAAATTCAAAATTTGGGCTTCCAAGTGCCCATGTTTGGTTGGAGGACTACATTATTCTAAGTACTGTTGTTTTTTCACAATGCAAGAAACATTCATGCATTCATCCAAATTCTTCATTATTTAGTTTCTTTAAATATACTACAAGGCGAATATACTTGGTGGCAACAGTTTGGAAAGTGAAATGATGCAAAATTCCATTTTGAGACAAATAGGCCTTTGGGTCTAATGCTCCTTTGGGCTAAAAATCTGTTTTTAATTTGAAAGAAAAGTACATTGAAAGACATTTTATGAGTACAAGTGAAATATTAAATACAAACATATCTTAAAATTGTTGTATATGTTAATAATAATTAATTATAAAATAATAAAATTGTTGTAACATACGGTATCCTTTCTTTTACACTTTTCAATCATTGGAAGATTTTCAGCGATGTATGCAACGATGTAACTTCAAAATAATATCACTGACAAATTTCACTGATATCAGTCACTTTATAATGCATAATTTGGGTTATTAAACTAATAATCCAAATTATTTTTGGTGTAAAAAAATAAGTTTACTATTTAATTTTCTGTTCTAAATTTTAATTTTAAGTTTTTGACTAATTGCAACTGATAAATTTTTAAGAATTAAAAATGAACTTAGTGGTGAAAGAATAAGCTTTTATTTACCAAAGTTACTTTAAATATGACGAAAATAAAACTAACAACACACATTGCACACACTGCGGGACGATTGCTAAAGACAAATGTCAAATTGTAGTGTGGCATAACATTAAGCAGGGTTAGAGGCCAAACAGAAGAAAATATTGTTGCCATACTGTTTTGACATTGGAATAACGCAAGGCTGTGGAGTTGGAATCAGGCAGATTTTGGGGTAAAAGGAGTCGGAGCTGGAGTCACTAAAAACAGGTCGACTCCCACTCCGACTCCAGTTTTTGTTGGACAGTTTGAATTTGAAATGAAATTAAAATGAAGTGAAAAAAAAATGACAAGCTGAGTTATTATTTTTATTTATGAACTGTATACATTAATAAATAGTTATTTTCTATTTTATTGACATATTAATAACTAAATATATGGGAGGAGGATAGAGGCAAGAATCCAAGAATGGAATGTTGTTCTTTCTGAAATGGAGTGTTTATTGCAGAAGGAATCATTTCTTCAATGATGAAAAGAGAAACTAGTTTGCTAGACAATGAGATCTTGCTGGGTTCAATATATGGAGATCAGAAACAGCAAATTTTCTTGGATGAAGGCAAAGAAAGTCATCTATGAACTTTCATTAAGAATGAAATTATTCTGAGAACATTTGGAGAATTCGAGTCAGGACAGTCAAACTTCAGACACTGCAATTGAGTCTCTATCCTCCTTTTCCAGTGATGAATTAGATTTTGAGAAATATTTTTGGATAATATTGAAAAGGATAAGGCAAAACAAAGAAACAAGAGACTTTACGTATAAAAAGGAAAAAATACAAACAAGATTTCAACACGGCCTTTGAAGAAATAGAGAAATATGATTGCACTTGCAAGACACCTCTTTTAGAACTTATAAAAATCTATCCTGAAAAGTTAAAAGAAGTACCGTATTTGACGGCATATAAGACGCACTTTTTTTCCCTAAATCTGGTCTCAAAAAAGTTACCTGCGTATTATACGTGAAGGACACAGGTTAACTTTCAATACTGAATGCTACTTTTAGCCCGGATTAAGATCTAAACACACATAACTTTTTCTACATCTACATGCATGTGACCTTCTAAATAAGGGTGCGTCTTATATGCCGTCAAATATGGTAGTCCTAACAGTAACAGCTCTTCTTCCTACTCAAGTTAGTGTGGAAAGACTCTTCTCAGCTCTGAAGTTTATGAAATCGGATCTATGGCCCTCCAACAAAGAAATTCTTGCCGAAGCTTTACTATTTCATAGAAATAACTAATGCCAGTTTTTCCATTTCATAATAAATGCTATTAATATAAATAAATTTGCTATGAAATCAATTTTTTCCTGTAGCATTTATTACTTCTTTTATATTAAAAAAATAAGCTGTAACCCATGTGTATATGTTTATATATATATATAAGGAAGTCATTAAAATACCAGGAGCCAGAGTCAGAGTCAGTTATTTTTCCTACTGACTCCACAGCCCTGGAATAAAGGTCATTTTTTTTTTTTTTTCCAGGAAAGGTTTTGAATGATCCAAACATAAAAAAACAGTTCTTTTGATTCTATGAATGGAGAAATAGAATAATGCATATGAATGACAGTAAGCACCTTAGGGAAAGGTATACGGAGAATGTTCACCATGGGAGGGCAGTGCAACTTTCTACACATTGTGCCATGCTCTTCATATTATCCAGTCACTGTTGAGGCAATCAATTCTACTCTCGGTTATTACACAGATTAGGGTAGTCTTGTTCATCAGAGAATATTTTTGATCAGCAAGTCACCTTCCTAGAACATCCCAAGCATTTTCAGTGGGATTTAGATCTGGAGAACATGAATGCCACAAAAGGCATTGAACATCCTTGCTGGTTAGACAACATTGAATAGCAAGTGTCTGATGATATAGTGCATTGTCATCCATAAAAAGAAATATATCACTAAAAACACCACAGAAAAAATGAACATGAGGCAGTAAAACTGCAGTGTGTCGTTGGCTGATCACAGTCTCAGTTGCACTCACATATAGGGAATGTGGCCACTCATCATGATGTTATGTTACTGCATCTTGAATACTGGCCCCTTTCCTGAATAAGGTGCAAACATGTTGGCAACTAATTTTTTGACAAGCTAATGCTTGAGCTAATTCTTGCAAAAAATTTTAAGTTGAAGTCATTTTCTAACTGGCAGTGCACTAATAATATCATACGAGAGCAATCAATCACTAAAATAAAAAAAGCAAGAAATATTGTTAATAAAACACTTTTTTGAGAAATCCTTCTTTTTTATACTGTTTTCCTTCCCTATATGAACCGAAATCTGTTTTTGCTTTAAAAAAATACAAAAAATTGCATAAACTCAGTATTTATACTACACTGGCATAGGGCACTGGCCAAAACAGATGTTACACACATGCTTGAGTTGCTACATAACTGAGTTGACACATAATTATTTTGGCGACATATTGCTTAGTTTTTATGATTTTGGGGCAGGGTTGTGGATAATCAGAAAGTGCCTATTATTTTACGGACTATATAATAAATTATTTTACATTATACAATCAATTATAATCATAATTATTATTCAACTGATTGTGCACCTTTATTCTACTTATTCTACAGAAAAAAATTATTACGCAGCTAATATAATAATTGACTACCTATACTATTTTTTGATGCAAGAAACAAAATTTTTTAGGTATTTCCTCTGCAGCCCTAATTTGGGTATAATTGTTCAAAATGTCTATTTTCTAGGCATATACTAGCAGTAGACAGGCAATTGGATCTCTTTGAAGGAAACAAAGGACACATCATCTACAGATATTTTTGTTATGCCAGCAATCAAACCATACACTTCCACTGATAATTTGTGACCTCAGTTGGAATTTTCATTTAACCCTAAAAGGGACTCCCGATAAGTGCTCTTCAGTAGTAGATGACTAATAAATGGGCCACTTATATAGTTCAAGTTTCTTCCATTAAAGAGATAACTGTGTTAGTTAGTCAGATTAATAGCAGACCAATTTGCAGCTTACTGTTTGCAAAACCATCTATTACTTAACAGCCCTTCCTTATACTTAACCGACAGCAAGAATGCAGATAAGATTATCCATAGAAACATTTAGCAAGCAAAATATTAATTAAAAACTGCTACACGAAAATTAATATCACAAACAATTTCTATAGTTATTTATGCTATAACGGTCACTCAAATGAAAACAAGACAGATAGGAAAAAAGTAAGTAATCTGTTTATTATTTCAAAAGTAATCACCATAACTGCTAAAGCATTTATCCCTCTGTGAGAAAAGATAGTTAATAGCTATCGTGGAAAAGGCTTTTCGGTTGCCCACGGAACCTCTTCGTGGACAGGTATTAACATCTTCGTCCGAAGAAAATCGATGGCCTTTTTCTTCAGGGGTCCAAAAACATGAAAATTGCAAGGGCAGACATCTGGACTGTCAGGGATCTAGATTCGACTGACCTTGCAGTCACAGTAAAAGGTCAGAACGACTTTCCCAGAGTTTTTCCATTGGGGTGAAACGGTGCGCTTTCCTCCGACGCTTGCTGTCTGGCTCAAAATATGGTACAAAGTTTCATCAGACTCCATCACCATTTCATGTTTCACCAGCAACAATACGGGACATGAAACAATATTTTGCATCATGATCCTATTCCAGGTGCTATGTCTACATTCTGTTCAACTTCTGCTCTTCCGTCAGGCTGTGTCTGTCATTCTGCGCCATGCTTGTTATATAGTCTGTCTCATTTTCATCTGACTGTCCCTTATACTATATTAAAATAAAATTCTTGAATTAATAAACAGTTCTCAATCAAAACAAACCTGAAATGCACGTTCTCCAATTAAGGTCAATACTTTACCCTCTCTTTCATGTTTGTTAGTACTTCCAGCTCTTAGAAGATATGCAAGTTTCATTATCTAAAAAGTATTTAAAAGTAAAAAGCCTTTATTAAATATTATCATTAAGTAAGAAACAAACATCAACAAAACATCACACTAACAAGAAGTAAATACCTCAGAGAGATGAAAAATTTATAAAACGTAACCTAAATTTCTAACTGAAGTGAAAAAGAAAACTTGCATACTTTTTAAGTCTTAAAATAAAACATTTAAGATGTAAAAAAGAAACTATGAAATTAGATATGCACCCAGCTCAATCTATAAACTTCATACGTACATTCTGACAGAATATTCTACAAATGTGGTAAAAAAATTCTACATCTAGTTTTCATCAAATCAGGGGGAAAAAAAATCATCATCTAACTTATCCAACGAATGCAAGTTTTCATCATTCTACATCTAGTTTTCATCAAATCAGGGGGGGGGGAATCATCATCTAACTTATGCAATGAATGCAGGTTTTATTTGCATTCATTTTTGTGTTTGTAGTTGTAGTCTATTACTTTAAAAAAGGCAAATTCTATGTCCCTTATCTGCAATCGTAACACTTATCATCAGCACCTCAAAGCCTTTATTTTGCAATTTTATTCGAGAGCTCAAGGATAGTTCTCATTCATGTGCCTTTCACAAAGTTAAACATTGCTGTTGACTAATGTTCAGTTGTCTGACCTATAGTCAGCCCAAGCCCATGAAATTCCTCATGGCAAGAAGTGCAACATTACGTCTGTCGTTGGTAACAATCTTGAGCACCTTACAGGTGACAGTGAGACTTAGCTCAATTACACCCCAAATTTTGATGGAGAGCGCCCTGGAGGTATGGGTCCGAGGGTCTCTTACCAGTAACCTTTCGAGGGGACTTTCAGCTCGCCACGTATTTAGAGTGCCCCCATGCCGCACGGACACTATACATTTACAAACATCCATGCCTTCTCCAGGATTCGAACCCGGACCTTTGGCATGGCAGTCAGCAACGCTAACCACTATACTGGTTACGTGGAAAGTGAATCATGCTTAATGAAAGTGAAGTGGGAAAAACAATTAGGCACTCAACAGTCAACTGCAGCTATCACCATGTATATTAAACAAGCTGGTTAAGGGAAAATGACTCTTAAGTGAGTATTTTAAAATAAAATATTACAGATAGTTTTTAGATACAACATGCCAACAGATTGAAATGATTTTGTGTGTTAACTGTTAGTTTGAATGTTAACTTTAAACTAAAGTCACAGTTATAACAGTACTTTGCCATCAGTACTTTGTCATCATGCTGCTATAGCTACTCTTTTTTGTACTGATATTTTGCTTTTATATTATTCAGTGTAAAGTTATTTTGCTTTGTGTTGAAAGAATAGTTGGAAACAATCCAGACAGATTTTTCTGAAATATTTCCAAAAAAAAAAAAAAAAATTTGCTTTAAGAAAAAACAGTTAATTACCTTCGCTGATTTCTTGTAGTTTTTATCCTTCTTTTGAAGCACTTCTTGCACTAGAGTTAACCTATTTTCACACAACCTCACTAAAATAGAAATTATACAAAAAAAAAAAAAAAAAAAAAATGAAATGAGGTGATAATACTTTGCATGGTTTCAACAAAATACAAGACATTTTTCTGGCTTTCTAATGAAAACTATGGTTTTATTTATTGATTTAGATTTAATAGGGCAGTTGATAATAGTTTTAGAATTGTGTTATGATACTATTAAGAAGTCTTAGTTGATATTACATTTTAAGGGGGAAATTTTAAGCACATTTTTGAAATATATGAAAAGTACATACTGAAATCACATTATAAATGCACATATTAAGATAAGTTTGGTAGAAAATTTTCAAATTAAAATTTGCATGAAACAAACTAGCAACACAGAAGTTTCATAATCATTTTGCTGATAATAACCTCACAGTAAAAATGGAAAAAAAAAAAAAAAACTATAATTTCGATTTGAAAACAGATATTTAGAGGATTTTATCTCATAAAAACAAAACATCAAAATCTAATTAAATGCTTACTTTCATGGGGAAAAAAGAATACAAATACATAATCGTAACATTTTTAAACAAAATAAAAGTCTTTAAACCCCAAAGTCAAATTATTTTAGAAATTGAATAAAAAATTGATAAATTTAACTATGTGGGACAATTTATGGTAACAGCTGCCACAGAATATTTTCTTCTTCTTTGCCCTCAGTTGCTTTTAAGTACATCTGATAAGTTTTCAAAAACGTTTTTAAAAGAGGCTTAGGAAACCCCACCAATGGCTGAGTAGTTAACACCACTGTATGCTGGTAATTCGACTGGAGTTCATATTCAAATCAATAGGCTGGTTTTGTGGTTCGTTTTGTGGTTTTCCTCATGTGTTAACATGAATACAAGCAGCTCCTCTATGAAGCCACACCTCCCCTCAGGTAGATAGCCTAACATATTCAAATAACCATAAGGTTTATAATTAAATCTGAAATATGTGGTGCAGTCAAAAAATATCTTGTTATTCTGGAAATAATTTCATAAAGCCTGAAGTTTACCCATTTTTTCCTCCCATTGTCTGAAGAGGACTGTTACAGCTGACAGTCGAAAAAATATTTTACACTTACAAACAATCATGACATCTCTGGGATGAACTCAGGCCCAAAGCTATCACACTCTTAACACTAAGGCTGGGCTGGTGCTAGGCATGTTGCTACCTGGTACAGCCTCTGTGAGCCCTTAATTGCTACACACTGCCTCTTAGATGAAGAGGTACCTTGTTTGCCCTTGAAATTGAAAAAAAACCTATGCCTAACACAGGTAATTGCTTCACTTTTATGATTTGAGGTGTGTTTCTCTCCTGTCTTGATAAGAATATTCACTTTGAACACAATTTGTTACAGTTAACAGATATGCATTATACACGAGTAAAGTGCCAAAAAAGGGGGGGAGCTGCCTGCTAGCATTTGAACTCAGACCAAACTATCAGTGCTTAATGGTCTTATCCATCTGGCCAGTAGTAGGCTCATCAATATTTTTGTAATCGCTACACATCAGTAAAACATACTAGACATGCATATATAAATATCATACATATAAATTAATGTGTGACACATTTCACAACTTTATGCAATAATTTAAGCATTAGTGAGCAAACTGTGAAAATCTAGCAGACAATTCTCAAATAAAAGTTACAGAAATTAGTAAGACTCATCATAAGTTAGAGCATTAACATAATGCTTTTTTAAGGCATACAAGTACAAAGCAGAAACCAGAACACATATCAACTGGCATTAAAAGTGCACATACCTTGCAAAGGTAAAACATTAACATTAAACTCTTGTAGCAATGATATAGCAGAAATTAAATCAAGCTCTTCCTCTATACTTGCTGGCACATCTTCAATCAAATTTAAGCACATTCTATAAAACAAAAGAACATGCAAGTCTATAGTACAGTTAGTAAAACTATTAGATGAAGTTAAAGTAGAAAGTTTTAGTAAAGAGCGCAACAGATTTTTGTCTGAATGTAGAAAAGATATCAAGAAAAGTTTATCCTTATTAACTGACATATAATATCAATATACACTTATTGTAAATTATTTATACAGTAAGCCCTTGTAATGTTCCTCGGTACTTTGGCTATGTTAAAATGTCAAAGAACCTAGTGAACTAAGTAGTGAATTATTTCTGAGTTCAAGTATGTATGACAGAGTCTTGAAAAGGGTTAAAATGCCCTTTTATTCGCTTAAAGAAATAATAACAGATGGCTCAGGCTTTTAAACCAGAATAAGAAAATAAGAAACTAATCTAATGTTAAACTAAATAGACTTTAGGTGAACATAGGCACAAATATCTAATATAGTTGGCCCTTAATTTAACCAGCCAACAATTATTAACAGGCATGTACAATATGACTAAGTGTAGTAAATTCAAGAAGGAAGTAGCCAGAAGGCAAATATGTGTCACTACAGGCCCCAAAGCACTCTCTCTTGAAGTACATTGAACTTACTTTAAATACTCATTTGCATAAAACACGATACTAAAAACTCGTTCTGGTTGGGAATAGTGGATAGGAAATGAGAATAGACAGTAAAGCATGTTAAAACTTAAAATAATTGTTAGAAACTTAGAGTACAACCGAAAAATCAGGAACTTAGTGTTAAAAAACGTATATTAATTGGAGATTAAAATTTTATTGTTTGAATACTTTTTCTATTTCTACATATTAACCATTTACAGTAAAAAGTTACATATTTACTACAGTATATTATATATGTCATCACAGAAAACACTACAGTAGTACATTATTTACTATACTGTAACTTGAACAAATGCACTAACAGATCATTTTTTGGTGAAAAATTCTTGTATATTGAGCTGTTGCATATAGGAATAAAAATGTCTGGTAATTTCTAAGTCAACTGTACTCATTGGCCCACCAGTAGCAGGTGGTAAAAGCCACTGAAGACTTGTAGGTCAGGCTCGGGTTCTAGTCCCAGTGCATAGGATAGCTGCATGGATGTTTTCATGTTTTCCCTATGTGTTACTCCTCAGACACAGCTGGATGTACATCAGATTCCACTAGACAGGTTAAGTAATTTTATACAATTAATTCAGAATTATTCAATATTTACATTAGCCATACATACTAGCTAACTTCTGAAAAATAAAAAGGCACATCTGAATGCAGAATTGCATTTGCTGATTGAAACTCATTATTGACGTGACGATCACTCTTATCGAACAATGTTTCCCATGCTGGCTATGTGTTCCAGAATACGGAATATCATGTGAGATTTTCAATTAAATGGGAAAACATTCCTGAATGCAACCCTAGCAGAGAAGCAACAGGAAAAGAATAAGAAAAATTTTGAAAGAAAAATTTTGAAAATCGAAAATTTTGTTCATATTAACCGAGTGTTTCCCTTAAGCGAGTTCATGTTAAGGGAGTTAACTCATATAACTGTTGTAGTAATTAATATATAACAAAATTTAAATGTTTAAAGTCCACAATGCTTATAATAAATATTTATTACTATAAATAGCTTTCAAAAGGAAAATAAAATTCTGGATGTAATGAGTGAGAAGTAAAATAATATTCCAGTTTGTAATAACATGTTTATAATGCACATAAACCAATCAATTAAAACATTAAAACCACTTACCTGATATAGGTTTAAATCTTATTGAATTATTTAATATGACAGTGATAAGTATCTCCTGATACTAGGTACTTCAACTGCAGTAAAAGATCTCTTAGCTTGGCAAAATTCTCCATTTGCTTTGATAATGTTCAGAAGTGTTTCTTTAAAAACATTTTGTAAAATATAACTGCTGAACTGCATTTATACCTGGGAGATTTGGGAAGCAGGACAATAAAAGGAATTTTGTGTATATTCCTGGTACAATTCTTAATTTCTTGGCAATATTATTCAGCGACCTTTTGACAGAACATAGTGCATATTTATAATAAAATTATAAAAATTAAATCATGATGATATTCAAGTATGTATATACTGTTACAATTTGGGCTACATTACACACCAGAAGGAAAACTGAGCTTTGGGCTATACTACATAAGAAATAGATACAGTTTAATCTCATTCTCCATACAGTAGAAAAGACTACCAACTATCAATGCTAGGAAAAAAACAAGGACAAATTTGTTATACAGGAATGATGGGTCCAAATGTGGCATAAGAGAATATTATTCAGACCATACTTCTTTCTACTAATTACTTAGTATGTGTCCAAAGCAAATCAAGATAATGAATCATTTTGATAAGGTATTGGACAGTTCATCCATTCACATGACGTAACAAAAAAGGGATTCATCTGAACCTTCTGACATGTTTCATTCATCAATGACCAGTGCTGTCAATGACTGTATGTCCAATGCAAGCATTTAATATGGTGAATGGCTCTGAGTACAGGTACATAAATATTGGCTATATCATATTTATACTGGTTCATAGCATATAATATAATATTGGTCCATAGCATATTTTTATAGGCTGGCAATACTGTGTTAGAAAGCCACATTTTTAATGGGTTGGCAATACTGTCTTCCTATGCATTCATTGCCCATTATCCAATTCAGTAGTGTCACTTGCGGCCATTATACACAACTTTTCAACTCAACTAAAGGCCGTTGCATAATAGCGTATAATTTGATTATTATTTTTTAAGTAGAAAACAATATCACCCAGCAGGCCAGATAAAAAACAACTGGCAGGCCGAATTTGGCCCACAGGCCATAGCTTGCCAAACCCGAATTTAGAGGATTAGTCAAATTTATTATATTAAAAAAAAATTCAAATTTTGTTATATTTAGTTATTATGATTAATGTATCTCAGAAAATATAATTATTCTCAAATTTGTACAAAATAAATAAATTGGGACAAAACAGTTTACCAATCTCTTTTCTCTTTGCATTTTAATGCCTATTTTATTATTATTATTCTTATATGATCTACCATTAAGATTTGAAATTACAGTCAGCTCTAATGGTGCAATTTACTGTACTGCAATGAAACATATATTTTCTTTGCTTATGCACCAGATGCCTAGTACGTACACATGAATACCAAAGTATATAAAATTAAAAGAGCTGCAAGAATAAGAAGCATCAGTGGTAATGTATCCAAGGATTCTTTATTAGAGTCTGGTGCAGACCAAGAACAGCCAACAACATTTACTTGATAATGCATAAAATCCTTTACAGCAACAATAAAGTATTGAATCCCCATCATATGAGAAATATTCAGAATCACAAAAAGTACACAATTTTATTATTGAAAAGAATTGCCACATTGACTAGTTTTTTCTTTAGACAAGCACAAATGTGGCAAAAAGCCAAAGTGTAATTGAGTTCCAAAAATAAATGTTTGAAATACTACATATATTCACATTTCAAAACTACTTCATGGGATTTTGCATTTAAGTGGTTACATACACAAGTGTAAATGCTGTAGCTATTGCAATTCCTAAGTTACCAAGTCCCTGATGGGAGCACGAATTACCGAGTTCAATGTTAATTTATATTTATAGATTGATAGTTATTGATTTCACATTAAATAGATTTTTTTAGAATTAAAAAAAAAGATCTTGTTTAAAGAGGATAAACCAGAAAGCATTCACCCATCAGAAGGGAGGAAAAAATATGCTATTATTGCCTTTTATTAAATCATGGTTACTTGAACTATAGTTCATATGCCAATCCCTTTGACTCTAAAACTACCGCTAAACAGAAGGATTTCATACCAGTTATGAATAAACGAGACATAACAACACACTCATTACATCTGAGCTTTCTTTACCTGATTGATTCCAAATAAGCAACCTTTTGTTTTGATGAACAAGGAAATATAACAACTGTCTCTGTTATATTTTCCCCTGCATTAGGGAAAAACTAGTGAAATTTGATACCTGATTTAAACAGAACAGAAAGCAATGGAATTTTTTCAAAATTGCAGAATTGTAGCATAAAAAAAAAGTGTGTATTTACGTACATGATATGGTCAACTGAATATGGTTGAGTAATATATTGGAATAATTACCCAAGGGAAGTTTGTACTCATATCATTTTAAACAGAATTTTCCATAAAATCGGAGGCCCTAGCAAAATAGTAGAAATCAAGAAAAGTCTGTGAAGGACAGAAACAAAGTGAGTCATTTTCTGATTGTTTATTAAATAAAGAGGCATCAGCTCTTTCAGAATTCTGTAGGAATGGTTAGCGCAACTTATGCAGGGATCCCACCAGCTTTCATAGTCGATGGGATGATATGTAAGTACCCAACTTTCACACAAAGGATTTAAATGAATATTCAGAATTAAGATAAAAAATGTCCCTATTTATAATAGTAAATATTTTTTTATTGCCAAACCAGGAAACAAAAACTTTTAATGTAATATAACAAAATTTTCTCAATATCAATAAAAGAATTAATGTAGCATTAATATAGTGTGTCAAGTATACTAACCTGAAACAAAAAAGTTGCCAATAGCAGCTATTTATTTAAAATGCTGACATTAGAGAAAAGTTTTTGAGATAATGATGTCATATGCAATCAAGTGCTTTCCTCAGTGTCAAAATATGACCTCATATAATAATGATAAAATGTTTAAAGTTTGGTAATGCTATTTTTATTTCATATTTCGTAAAACGTGCAAATTTTTTATAAACTAACTCTACGATTTCAAAATGAGCAGTGGCAACACTTTTCGAAATAAAACTTACGAAATGTTTTCTTAAGAAACTCTACGATTTGAAAGTGAGCAGTAGCAACACTTTTCGAAATAAAGCAGGTTTTCATATCCAGCATGCGAGAGTGTTGTCACTCATAAAAATGAGGGAGATAATTAGCGTTAATCCAAGGTTTTAATTAATATCTCAGGTAATTAAAGTTGCATGAAGATGACAATGGTTAAAATGGCTTTTCACGAATTTTTGGAGTCTGGAGGTACCTTTTTCGAAGTTCAATCCCCCGATGTTCCGGAGAACATAATACCACAAAAAAACAGACAGACAGATGCGAAAAGAACTTAATAATATAGATTGATACATGATGGCACATAGATTTTTTTATCCTTATTTATGTGCTGCAAAATTTAAAATGGTTTGAGAAACCCTCTATTAGAATAGCTTTATATTAGTAACTGATGCCATTTATTAAAAGTCAAACAAAATATAATCCTTTTATTACCTAGCAAGAGCCATGCATGGATCTGAGGCATTCGCAGATGAATTAAAATACTCCCGGGTTGCAGCCAACACCAACTGCACAGATTTTGCATAAGGTAACTTGAAAGACTGTGGCCCAATACAGAGTTTTTCTCTTCTTTGTTTATTATTGCATTCCATCATTTTTCCAGCTAAAGTAATGCCTTCACATTTCCCAGAGCACAACAAAGATTGCAAAACTATCTAGTATACAACAAAACAATTTCATATGAGAATAATGATATGAGTATGATATATAATATTAATTAGCATAAAGGTAATTTTATAGTGCCTCCCAAATAAAATTATATCTCAAAAGGTTATCATAGAGCAAAAAGTATAATTTACAACCTAGTATTTACAGTGCCAATTTTGTGAAAAATTTTATGGGTGATGTCTGACACTACATATTGGTCAATTTCATAACAGTAAAAATCAAGAGACTTAGGAAAAAAATCCAAGAAAAAACATAAAGTGAATTAAACACAGAAATTGATATTAATCTGAATACTTAAAAACAGATGTAAAAATTATATGGAAGAAAAATTTTTACCATAAAAAGAATAAGAAGAAATGAATTTATCTGCGGTAGATTGTTTGCTTCTGCTGTAGATAAATTTTAAAAATGTGCTTCATTAATTAACATTTATTATCTTATGTAAATTGACATTTAAGATATTCAATAATTAGTATATGTGGTAAGCATAGACATTTTAAAGAATAAAAGATGGAAACAAAAATGTTTAATTTGTATGCAGTTTTCCCTTAAAACAATGCTACTTACTGCTATTTTAATTATACAATAATGCAATTATTATGTTTGGGAAAAACTGTGATGAAATTCACAATTTACCAAAGTAAAATTTTCACTGCCAAATGGGTTTTTAATTGCCAAAATGTTGAAAAATCAACAAACTAATGATGCACATAAACATGGCCTTCCTCATTCAATCAACTAAATGACACAATGAGTTCTTTCGCCCTGCCGAACCAGTCACAGGGTTTCAACCTCTGCCCTTGCACACCTTGGAGAGAGAGAGAGATGCATCGCTTTTGCGACACTAATCGTTGTCAATGATTTTGCTACCTGCCAGTCACACGGGCTGCCCGCCTTCCAAGGATATTACTCAGCATACCTGGGGTGCCACCTCCACGCAGCTGCCAACCTAGAGCCTTGAGCTTTTCAACATACCAGATCCATGGTCTGACCAATAAGTTCTTTCTGGGGCCTTTAGAACCACTTGGTTCATAATTTGTATACCCCTGTGGCCAAGACTGCCTAGGTACAGATCCTAGCCAGCAGCTTCACAGAGTTCTCTACGTCAGCCCCCAGGGATGGGGGTAATGATGCACACTAAAAATCACACTCCAAGAAAGAGAAGAAAATTGTTTTTGTTATCAACGGAGGATGAATTTCAACAGCAACTCGTATATCTTTGCCAAGAATAAGCACTTAAAAAACAGATTTAGATATAAATAAAAAAACTGGCAGATTTGTTCTCACAAATTAAATGAAATATTCCTAAAAATTTTGTGTATAGCATTACAAAATCAGTAAAGAGTTTTAAATTGTTTTTTAAATTTAGAAAAAGGTTCAACCATAATTTTTATCAATATTAACAGATACTGGAAGGTAACTTTATTTAAGTTTGATTTTCTAGAATTCCAGAAATAGAGCAATCTGCAGCTGTCATACAATAGTCATACAACTCTTCACAATATCACAGCGTGTAAATCAGAAGGAAAGGAAATCAAACTACTATAACGTTAAACACAATGCAATGCAAAGTGCAAGTAAAGAGCAAAGCTAAACCAGAGATAGTACTTGGAACACACGCTGACAACAATAAGTGAGAGCAGATGCTCGTTATATAGTTTTAACCCGACTGCAGAGATATTTATATTGGGCCAGATAAAAAATATCTTTTTTTTTGGGGGGGGGTACATTTTTGAACAAAAATTTTCTTTATTGAAAATCATCAACTTTAATCAAGTACATATTGACCATTATTATCTACTTGAACTACTATCTATTTGAACTAAAACTTTAGAATGCCTTTTGCCATTTTTCATGTAGCTTCATAATTTCATCAGTGTAGAACTAAAAACTTGGCCAAGTGATTTTCAGCGGCACTTTGGTCGGCCTGTTTTTTTACCATCAAGAGAGTTTTGCAGAGACCAAAACATATGATAGTCAGACAGTGCAAGGTCCAGACTATACAGTGGATGCATCAAAATTTCCCAACCAACTTCCATCAATTTGTTCAGAGTCATCAAAGATGTATGTGACATGCATTTCACTCTTTCTGGATTGCTTCATTCAAATGGTCGAGTTGTGCACAGTACAGGGCCAAATTGATGGTTTTGCTAGGTTGCAGCAGCTCATAATGACAATTCCCTTCCAATCCCACCAAACATTCAACATAACCTTGTTTGGTGACAATTCATGCTTTGAAGCCATTTGTAGAGGGTCACCAGCCTTTGTATTTCACTCATATTTCACAGCCTCGTATTTCACCCATATTTAATTGCCTGTAATGATCTGCTTCAAAAATGGTTTGATTTTGTTGCATGTCAGCAGCATATCACTGATAATAATTTGGTCTATCAAATTTCTTTGCCTTAATTCATGTGGCACCCAAACATCAAACTTCTTTTTGCACCCTGCTCTTTTCAAATGATTTCCAACTGTTATGTGATTGATGTTTAGTGTCTCTGATATTTCCTAACAGCCTGCGTGCCGGTCTTCATCAACTTTTTCAGTGACTGGCCGAACAGAATGAGGTCGAAATTTCCAGAACCAAATCGAGCAAACCACTCCTGGGTCCTTTGTACACTCACAGCATTCTCACCATACACATTACAAATTTTTTGGCATGTTTTTGCAGCATTTTACAGTAAAAAAGCATGAAATAGCATATTTCTTCAGATATTTCACTCATTTTCAAATCAATATAGCTTTTTACATGAGCAACAAAATAGAAAACTATCTTTACAAACAATGTAAGCTCAATGTCACCTATTAAGCAAATGCTCATTTGACACAATCAGCTGAGTGTTGTTGGATATACAGGCATCAACACCAACTAGTGGCAAAAAAACACGGAGACTTTTTATATGATCCAATAGTACTTTCTGCTTCTTGAAATCACTGGAAGCCAATATGAGGTTTGAATTATGGTTACAGTGATCAATTACATTTATTCAATTACAATACCTATTACGGCAATAAAGGGACTGGACCAAAATGTTGTCAAATGCTCGCCAAGTTTGGTGACTTTTGGCAATTTTTGCCAAAACTGTTTGCCAGTTTGGTATTATCTTGCCAAATTAACATACCCAATCACTCAACGTTAAATGGACTTGCATTGAATTTTTACTCTTCTGGCATAGTTTATCTCCTCAGATTTTTCAAGTTACATTATACAAAAGAAATACAACAGTTTTACTTATAATTTCATTAAAATTACCTATCTAAGTACAAAATTTTTCACACTATTATTCCTATGTTTGCGTATTTTTATGAATTATGAACTGGCTCTGAGTAACAGAAACTCACATTGTTAAATACTTCCTTTAATCTTACATACAAGACTAAATCTATCTATATATATGTGCATAGAGAAAGAGGAAAAGAGTGTTTCGGTGTTTTGAGTTAGTTACGAGTTAAAAGTGCTTCTAAGTTGTATTTCTACGAAACACCAAGTTTCAAATTTCAATAACACTTTTTATATAATTTTCTAAACCAACCTCATAACAGTCTTCCTGAGAAACACACTTGAATAACAGCTGCTGCGTTTCTAGAACATCAGACAACAGACCAATCCATTCATCATCACTAAGTACAGGAAATCTGAAATAAATATTGAGAAAAAAAAATGGTACCTTCAGATTACCATCTCATAGCTCAAATGTCTATCAATAAAAATAAATACATAAGTAAAACACATAAAAAGTATCAGAAGTTTCAAAAATATTTCTCTTTCACTATTAAATAACTACAATCTAGACAGTTGCCAACTTATAAAAATAAACATTTATTGAAGATACATACGCAAACTCAACTGGAAAAGAATTATACTTTTAAAAGTTTAAAACCTATATAAAAAATTTTCTTAAAAAAAGTAATAAAATAAAAACTAAAATCAAGATAAAGTTAACTTTCAAAATATGAATTTAATTTTATACTGTTATTTAATGTACTTCCTGCAAACAATAGTGTATCATAGTAATTCACAAACTTTTTTCCAATTTTCCCCCTTAACAATGGATAAAATTGTACAATTTCCCTAAATGGTATGCATATTTTATGATTATCTTGCAAGTAACTAAGTTAGCCTGAAGCCAATGAAGAAACATATTGTAATAAAAACATGCCAAATAGGATATAGGTAATGAAAAAAATTCAAATTTACTACCATTATAGCATATACTAAGAGTCGTTATGGTGTGTTTAAAATTACTTAAAAGCATAATTTTATTACATAAAGTGCATGAAAAATTTGCACGAATTTTCATTAGAAGTCTGTTCAAATATAAAAATAAAAAACAACTTTGAAAAAATGTTTTTAATAGTAATTTTGAAATTATAATGGTGGTGTGATTCTGGTTTAGAAGTCTAGATGGATCTGTCTGCATCCCTGGCAGAACTTTATGAATACTTTGCTAGGGTTGTCTCTGAAATTCACCTTTTAGTTTCCCTGATCAAACAAAATAAACTAACTATCAATTAATTATGAGCGATGGAATCATTTACCACAAAATATAATGAAATAACCAGAAAATTGCAAAAAATTTGTTTATACAGGGTGAATCTGAACAAGTGGGCAAAACTTTAGGGCTATATAAAAAAAACTTAATCTACGAATGCCCCGTTTAAATGAATACGGATTTAATCACCAGGTTCGCCGCTGTTGCCAGCGATATTCGGGAAATGCACAGAGTCTTCGCAAATGTGCATCAGTCCCTATCGTTCAGGTGTGAAGCTCATATTACAGCTGACAAAAGGTCTTTTGAGCAATTTCTTCGAGCATGTACATTAATTACATTCCTGTTAATAAAATGTTTTATGGATTATCTCCTCTCATTCTTGTGTTAATTCTTTAAATGTGACATTGGAAAACTACCCTTTAACTTCTCATGGCTTGTGTTCTGACCAAATATTCTATGACAAATATTGCTCATACAGCTGCCTTCTTAACACCCCCTAAAGTTTTGCTCACTTGCTCAGATTAACCCTATATATTATTGTGAAGAAAATAAAAGGCATATTTACACAAAATATGTATCTAACCACTCATAAAAAGGAGGCAGTGCTATTAAAAAGAAATATATCAAACTTAAGACAAAAAGAAACAAAGAGGAACAGAAATTTATTCTGCAAATGAAATTATAACATCATTCATAATAAATATTATTCCTATGGAATCTCAAAATTCTTAGCTTCTCAGTTTTTTAAACAACATTAAAAAAATAATCGAGCAATTAACATGGATTAAAAAAATGTTTAAATATTATAGTTATTATACAGGGTGTTTACTAAAAAATACCCCAAATTTGCAGGGTTATATCTCCTAAACCAAATAAATAAGTACTCTATTCTATAAATTGTAGTGAACGAAAACATTTTTCTCAAATAAAGAATAAATTTATTACCAAATAAAGAATGGAAGTCATGGGTCTTACAAACATCCATCATCTATATGAGTTCATTCAGTCAGTTTGCACAAAGATGATAACTAAGCAACAACAGACATTCTGTGTTACTGAACTGTTTAAAATTTTCAGACCATTCTTTTTTCATGAGTCCATGTTACTGGTACGAATGTTACTTACTTAATTGTTTCTGCAGTTACAAGAAGATGCTGGAGACTTAATTTTGAAGCAGGATAAAGTAGGATAAATCTTTTCGTGGATACTTAAAAATTGCTGCAATCTTGGAATGGTCACAAAGCAGGTAAGGTACTTGCTCTTATCAATGGTCTGCAAGAAGCCGAGATTAAACTCCTTGTGATTTTTTTTTTCTTTGAGGCTACATAAAAGAGAATATTTTTTCTGCCAGCCACCATTTACAAACTAAAAAATATGAACAATTGCTGCCAACCAAACTGTAACACCGAACCTGCTAAAAAAAGTAGTAAGACATGTTGTCCTATTGATTGGATACTATTTATGTTTCCGGTGGTAGTCACAGTGAACTTTACACTTTTATAAATTCTAAAATTTGACTTTTTATTTAATTTGTATAAAAAGATGACAACTTTTTCAGTTTTGTCCTTCAAACCTGGAGCATTCTTTTGATACTAGCCTGTATTGTACAGCCACAGAATATAATGACTTCCTGAATATAGCAATTAGAATGGCTACTTTCTAAAGGGAAGATAAGAGTAAAATAATACCTCACTAATAATCTGTATTTGGTAAGAGGTGAGTAAAATGTTTTCTGTAAGAAAAACAATGCTTGCAGAAATTTTTCACTTCTTTAAGAGAAGTAATTTTTTATTTATCGGGCACTATTTAAAACATTAACTTTTTATTATATAAGAGCCTTAATAAATAAATTTCAAAGATCCTATAAATGTAGAATTATAATTATGTAGATGTAAAAATAAAATTAAAACAAAGCATCAAAAGAAAATCAAAAACAAAATAAAAAAGAACATGAAAGAAGAAATCCAATCAATTCCAATATAACTTGGTCAGGAGCAGGTACACTGAAATGTATTCCTCTTCCAAAAGAAATTTCTTGCTTTTCTGCATCGAGAATTAGTTGATGAATAATTTCTATATATTTTTTAAATCTTAATAGTTCACCCGAAAATTCTGGCCCTTCCCAGAGCATGAAAAATGGCAAAAAAGTAAAATCATTAATGAAAATTATTTCAAATTAAAAAGAACTTTCCCAAAATAAAAACTTACCAAAAAATAGAAGAATTAAAACTTCAGTGAATTTTTTTTTTAAAAAAAAGCAAGAACCCAATTAAGCAAAAATTATTAAACACAAAACTGAGTGACAGTCTCTTTTCAAATATAAGTTCGAAAGAATGAAGAGACCATTGGATTACAAAGTGAGTGAACAGTCTCTTTTCAAATATAAGTTCGAAAGAATGAAGAGACCATTGGACACCAAAGGGTTTTGCCTCTTTGGCAAAATGAAAAGCTGTAGTCGAGAAAGGAATCTTACAAAAGGTGAAATAATGCTGCGAAGCTAAGAATTTCTAACTTCCGGAGGAAAAAAATATTTAAATTAAAATTGACTCTTTAACTAAAAAAGGACAAAGAATTATTCCCGATGGTAAAGAGATAGATATATATATATACATTTTGAAAACTTTCTTTACTTTTTGAAAAAAAATTATATTTTCAGACAATTTTTCCCTTTATAACTTTTCAGAATTTTCCAGATGAATGGTAATCTTGATAAGAATGCTTGTTTTATGTACATTCCCTACAAGTAAGTACTGAAACCAATATTTTAAGAATACTTTTGGAAGGAATTCAAAATATATAAAGACTATGCTTCAAATCAAGAATAACAGTTTGATGCATATGCAATCATATTTCTCATGAAATCTTAAGAGAAAATTTTATAATATAATGGAAAACTCTTATACATGGTGATGCCATAAATCCCGCAGTAAAACAAGCTTTCTATAAGATTCTAAAGTAATTTTTACCCATAAGCATTTACAGTAGAGTGACAAAAAACAAGGGAAGAAATAATCTAAATTCATACCTATGACTAGCCATTCTTGTCAGTTTTGTTAATATTTTTTTAACTTCTTCAGAATTACATGAAATATTCTGCACAATTGCTAATGTAACAGCTAAACCATTCCTATCTAACAGTTCACAAACGCTGAAAATTAATATAAAAGATGTTAAATATTTTTAATAATTTCATATAATTTAAATTTTTTAAGAAAAACAAATATATGAGCACTGTGATAATTATAATAATGGTTATAGAAAGAAAACAAAGCAAAATGCCAATAATAATGAAAAGAAATTATTTATATTTTCAATATATTGCACAAATAAAATATTTACATTAACACGTTCACTGCCCAACACGAGAAAACTCGCATTAGCGCTCTTCTTCAGGATGTATGCCCAATACCAGTTATCTCATAGTTTCTTGCCACTTTTGCGGTGCTACTAGTTAGTTCATAGTTTGTAAGTGTAAATATGAATGTATGGCCTCTTGGAAGAAAATAAACAATCAAGTTTGGCTTATACGAATAGAAATTTTATTGAAAAACGAAGCAAAAATATACATTCATTGTTTATTTCTTTGTTTAAAAAAAAAAAAAAAGAGAGAGAGAGAGAGAGAATATATTTATTGTTTGTGATAAAATTTAAAACAATCTTCAACACAAACACTTCTAAGAATAATATAATATTATTAAATCAATTTGGCTTCTCAGACCGGAATCCGAAAAGTGCCGTGGCAGTCAATGCGTTAAATATTGAATTACATAACTGTTTCTCACAGATATCGATAAAGAACATGAAAATAAATAGTAGCAGTTAGCACTACAAAAAACTTTTATTTCACACTAGACTATAAGATTACAAAACATATTAGTTAGTAGTTTCATGTCCTGTGATTACACATAGACAAAATATAAATTAAATAAAACCAATAATGCTTACCTAATATGCTTTTGCAAATTTTCAATGCCGTTTGGCACACTGTGAAACTGTTTAGGAGTATTTCTATAAAAGACAGGAGAAGCATTAGTCAGTACTCTTAAGGTCACAATATAAAACTGATAAAAATATTTAATTAAAACAAATTTATTTAGTCCTGAAATATTTTCTATACAAAAGATCATACAAACAAAAGAACTTACTTAGAAACTTGATCAGGCAATGACAAAAACAACTCATGCATAGATTTAGCATTTGTTAGTTGATCAGACCTAAAATATATCAAAATATTAATGAACTGGTACACACTAAGCAAGGATTTAATTTAATACCTGTCAAATCATATAAAACAAATTAAGGTAATTATGCAAAAACTGTACCTTTCACAATAATATATACAATGCAGTCCAAGGCATATGAGTTCATTTACATCCGATATCACTGTGTGTGTCTACAATAATATAACACACATTAAGACACATGAAAAAAATTTAAACAGACTAAACAATATACAAAAAACAAAACCAGAATGGACAAACATAACTCAGTCTTTGGCAATTTATACACATATGATTAAAACTCCTGTAAACAGCCTGTCCATTTTATTGAATATTGTTAGCATTGAAGTTACAAGGAAAATTTTAGCATTTACTGAATTTCTCACATACTTCTTTTCTTTGAATAATAGCTGCTGGCCCTAGATTAGTTGCTATAATATATACATAATTGAAACTAATTGGCAATAGACCTTTAAACTCATAAATTTTAATTAAACACATCCTTGCTTCAAACATATTCTTTGCCCAATTTTTTATTGCTGCAGTATATTACGTCACTCTCTTCCTGCAGTATCTGCATTGCTGTAAACTTCTGCCCGATAGCTTTCAGGATTAACACAAAGACTTTCTGGCTGTAAATATAACCACAATGAGTATGCATTATTTTTTCTTACTTGCCATTGCTTGAGTAAGCCACATCACTCACTTTGGCTTCCTTCTCTATTGTTTAAAATGTAAATTTCACAAACAGAAATTGTGGGGCATGTTTAGCCCTTCTAAGGCTGTATCAGTTTTAAGCAAAAATGCATTTCTGAATAATTGTTCCAGCACAAAATAAAAATGGTATTTCAACCATCAAGCCATTTTTGCACTTTTCATCATCTAAGCAAGGCTTCTCGACCATTACGAAGAAATGAATTAGTTTATCATCTTCCACAAAAACTACAACATCACAGAGAGTTTTAAAAAATTATTATTTTTAAAATTAAAAGGGGGAAAAGTGCTCAAATTAAAAACAGTAATAAAAGGGCTATTGTTAAAGTATATTCACAGTTACATATTTTTTTATCTTACGTGTGTCGCAATATGTATCTTGTGGTAACTTGTATCTTATGTGTGTGGCAACATGTTTATTTTAAATCACCGAATTCTTATATTAAATTTGAGAGACAGTTATCTTATGCTTTGTCTAATGGCAATGCATTTGTTTTAAATCGATGAATTTTCTGATAACATTTGAAACATAAACATATTTCATGTTACAGAGTAGCAGAAAATGCTTTTTTAGTCACCATGTTTCTTAATCAGGAATTCATTGAATTTGCAGAATATATGCAATAAATCAAAAATGTACTCGGCCATAGAAAAGCACATGCTCAGGCAAAGAACTGTACAAATTTGGTGTATCTAGGTGCTGTTTTCCCAAAATGTGAGGAATATAGACATAGATTTTTCATAATTTAATTACAGAGATTTAAAATCATGATTTAGGAACTTCTGATTATTTGCATAAAGTTCAATTTATTTCCTGAATCTAAAAAATGGACTTCTTCACAAGAATGAGCAGTTTTTTGTAATATCACACATTGGTACTCTCTGTACATACATTTCAAGTTCTGCATTTATTCTTACCTAACACAGAGGTGAAGAAAGGAAGGAAAATAGGCATAGATTACAAAGATCGCCATCCTTGAAAATTAAAACTACAGTAGACGTTGATAAAGATATAAGAATATGTCTTTCTACCCCATGGAAGCAGATTCTCATGACCCTCTGAGAATGTAAAGTACTTGCAACAATCAGTTGTCATTCTATAGTAGAAATGAACAAACTAATTTTTTTATGGGATCAAAATAGAACAGTTCACTCAACTCCATTGGTCCTTTTTTGACTCATCGCTCAGTACACAGGGTATTTATACATTTTTGTAATGGTTTTGATTATTTTCATTAATTTAAATATTAATTTTAAATTAAAAATATCACTGGCATCAAATTGAAATACGATTTCATTATAGTCTGCAGCATTAAAAATATTCTTTTCTTTAAAATGTCATTAAAAAATAAACAATGGATCAAAGACTATATTTTTGCGCTATCCGAAGTGAAATACTCTAATTCAATTATTAAAAAAAGATGTGAAAACATGGTTTTAATATTTTTACATGTAAAATAGTGATACAATTAATATGAAAAGAAAGAAACATCAAAGTTTACATCTGACAAGGAAAAAGGCAAAAAATGCATACCCAACAAAGGTACGTACATACAGCTCTTATTAAATCTAAAGTTGCATATCATGTTTTAAAGGAAAATCCAGTCCCCAAAAGAGCTATTGCAAGATCTTTAAATATCTCTATAGGAATTGTGAAAAAATTATAAAATCTGATTCAAAGCTAACCCCCCCCCCAAACAACAACAACAACAACAACAACAACAAAAAATGTTCGTTGCCCGTTGCCTAATGCTAAAAAATTTTCCTCAGCATAATACTATATGCAAATTGTTGTATGAAAATTATTTGGCAGGTGAAAAATGGAAATATATAGTAAAAATTGATGAGGTTTGGATATATTTATCTGACTGCAGTAGAAAAAGATCGGTTTTACGGTTATTACTGGATTCTCTAACAACAGAAAACTTAAAATAAGGAAAGTAGAAAAAAATGTCAAAATTAATTTGGATTACTATCAGAAATATGTTTTAACATCTATTTTTAAAGAAGAGGAATCCATCAGGATAAGGTTCCAAGTCATATCCCTAAATCTACTGCTCTATTTTTTGAAAAAAAATTAGAAATGAAACCAGAATGTTTAAATGCATCACACCCAAGTCCCCTGATTTGTCTCCTATGGATTATTGTGCACTTAAGAGTTTTAAAACATGCTCCTTATAAGTGGCATCCCAAAACATTAGATGGACTCTGGAAGATTGTGAAGGAGGAGTGGAATAAAATCAACCTTGATGGTTTCAAGAAAAGGACTTTTATCTTGAAAATCAAGATGTAATATGATAGTTCAATGAAAGGACTATCAGAGTGAGCATATTAGAAAATAAAATTCTCAAGTTTGTTTATTTATTCAAAGAACTGTCACTCTTTTTTGTGAAATTAGTGTTTACTTGCTCAGCAAAGTGAATCCATTCCTTGAATCAGTTCTCGAACAAACACCACATCTCTACTCCATAGGCAGTCTTTCTCCCAGCAGTATATGTTTAACAACTAATTAATACAGTACAAGATGCAGACTAGAGATTCTATATTTTTTCCTTCTCCTTAAATTTTTAGAATTTATTGTTAAAAGTTTTTATTAGTTTTAAGATTTAAATTATTATAGTTTAGCCAGAAAGTCTGCTTCAACCTGCAGGCCAAGAGGTGGGTAGCAAGGTATAATGTGGAGATAAAAAGTTCTAAAGCAATAATTAACAGCAATACTGATCAGTTCATTCCATGTAAACTTTAGGATTTTTCTTTACAGGATAATATATGGCAAACAATTTCTCTACAGACATATATATGCCAGCTTGGTACTTCCATCAGGAAAACAAACTGCTGTGTGCATACAGGTTGGTAATAGACAGATTAAAAAAATTTACTCTCATAAAAAGAAATATTTGAGAACTATGGAATTTTCCACAGTGTTCACAGTATCACACAGAATAATCAATAGTTACAGTTCAAACTACTAAGAGTATTAAACACATCGCAATGCAAAGCTCATCTAATGAGAAAGCTAACTTGGATTTATCTCAGTTCATGCGAAACTACAACTTGCAATAACAATAACTAAGTAACTGAACCTCAGATGCTCTTAGTCCGAGCTTTTATAGTTTTCAACCACCAGTGAAATGTTTCTAGTACTTTCTGCTTCTCCAAATTACTGGAAAGCAATAATAGTGTGGGATTACGGTTACAGCTGTGGTCAATTACATTTATTCAATTTCAACACATATTATAGTGATACAGGGATTGGACCAAAATGTTGCTTGCCGACTTTAGATGATTTCTTGCTAAATTTGGTGGCTAAATAAGTCGCCAAAAGTTTTTCAGCTTGGTGATATCTCTCTAAATTACTGTATTCTTACATTTCCGGCATAGTTTTCTATTAAAATTTTTCTCATGCTACATAACACAGAAAAATACAACATTTTCACTTATAATTCTACTACAATTACCTATCTAAGTATAAAATGCATAACAATACCTTCATCACCAGCTTATTTCAACTGTGACAGCAGTTTTCTAAACATAACAAATTACAGTGTTGCTTACTGTACTGGCGGAGACCTGTATTTTAACAGTCTTAGCTCTTGAGATACATGAACCAGGTTCCAACCTTTCATCCACTGGCCAAGTTGTGTGAGGAACCAGTTTAATTAAACACTGGTTCTTTGAGGAACACTTTGAGATGAGTTGACCCTTTGACTACTAACGAGACTTATACACAAGGGCACAAATGAACAGAGAAAAGAACAAATATGAGTTGCCCAATGTGTAATGTTGTGCTATGCAAAAAAATTCTTTACCCTGTACCATCCAATGTAAAATCTTTTCATGTACTACAGTTTTCCAGAGTAATAGGTGTGCTTATAGTAAGTCGACCGCTATGTATGGAACATATGTATCCCAACAATTACTACGGCTGGGACATAGCTTGAAAACCATTTGTCAAAAAAATCCCGAATGCTAAATTTACTTTATTTATGACATATTAGTTCACCTGAATTGAAAACGAGGTATTTTTTTAATTACCTCGTAGTCAAAGTTCGTTCATCCCTTTGGGGTTCAGCCAGTTCTGGGACACTTCATAGACCTTCTGCCTTAGAAGTGCATGCCCCATAGTGTATCATTAGGCAGAGAGGGATGGGGACAATATGTTATCTGTTTGGTTAGCTATTTCAATAAATAAAGAATGAAACAGAATGACACACTTTTACTTTCGATTGACAATACTTATTCAGGAAAGAACCTAAGTGAACACACGTTTTTGCTATAAGTGAACACACATTTGTTTAACAGCAGCCATATTCGTATATATATCCTTCAGTAGAAAACAGTTGATTTGTAACAGAAAAGATACAACCATTTTTAATTATGTAAGTCCCACCCTTACCATCAGAAATGATCCATACTGCATAAGTTTTTCCTTTCAATTTTCAAATAGTGAAATGAGTGAGAGGTAAAGAATTAAATATAATATTTTGAGAAATATATAATAAATAAGATATATAAGAAATATATTCCAAAATACTTCTTATAAACATTTTAAATATACTTTATCTGTATGACATGGTTTAGTTTAAATCCGCTTGCTGCATTTGTAAAATATTTATCTTTTCAATCTTTTTGTGGCCCAACATCTTTTCCAATTAAGTTATATGCTGCAAAGTATATATTGTAATATCTACCTATTATAATTCTTAATTTTTGAAGATGAGATATTTTTAATAGATTTATTACTTTTGAAGTAAATAAACTGGAAAATATTTTTTCAAAACTGATATAACACATGAAAACTTAAGCTATTTCAGTACTGAAGCTATTCCGCACACTCATGCGATTTTTTTTTATAATATCAAGTATAGAAAATTAACAATTACACAAACACACATACATCAAACTTATAGTTCTCCAATAGCTTCTTGCAATAAATTAAACTGTTCTTGGACAAATACATCAAGTATGTTTTTAAGAGGGATTTAGCACACCCAGGATCATGTTTATCACAGCGTTCGAGAAAAGGAAAAAGCCACTGTTCCACATGTTTCACAAAATCTTCTTCGGAAGTCTACAAAGAAAAACTGCACGTTATACAAAGCAATTTTTCAAAATTTATCAGCAAATAAAACAGATTTAAAATATTAATTACAGATTTATGTATTGTTATGAAATTAAGAATACATCAATTTGAACTATTTTTTTTAATACAGTACAAAGTCTGTAATCCGGACTCGTCGGGACTTTGGCGATTCCGGATTATCAGTTTAAATCTGGTAAGATGACATGAAGAAATTATACAATTAAAAATATGAAACCGTAATTTATGAAATAAGGAGCAGAGTATCAAAATAAAAAAAAATAAAAACTTAATATTTATTTGTTTACTTTATTAAACATTTCTTTCAATGTAAGCTGTTTAAATTGCTTCGTTTCTTGTGCTAATACTTTCTTTTTAATTCTATATTTTTGTTCAGTTACAAAGTTCCACTGTTCAAGTCCTGTAATTGCTGCGTCGAGAATACCGACTAACTTGTCAAATCGAAATTTTTTCGTTTTCAATAACCTCTCTGTCACTTTCTTTACTATCAGAAGTGGTATTTTCTGGATCTAGAACCATACTACAGATATCGCCGTCCATTAATTGATTGATGATTGGGGCATTGTCATCGCAATGAAAAACTTCTGTTATATCATCTTCATTTATTACCGCTTCTCCACATTTTTTTACAAAATCCAATAACTGGAAAATTTCACCTTTAGTTTGCAATGTCTGAAAACATTCAAATTCGCAACTATCATCTTCATTGTCCTCACCATGAAATATGGTAGCCGGCCATAAATTATGCCAAACATTTCTTAACATATCTGGAGAAACATCCTCCCACGATCTTGCGATGCTCCACACAGCAGATTTTATGCTAAAAAATTTCAAAAAGGCTTGAATAATCTTGCCATTGTTCAAGAATTTTAATATAGATTTTAAAAATGCTACTTTATATTTGCATTTCAGCATGTGCACTATTCTCATATCCATAGGCTGAATGATAAATGTACAATTTGGAGAGAAGAATAATATGGATACATTATCTTTCACTAAAACTTTAAGTGAAGTATGCAGGAAAAAGTCGTGCAAAAGTCTGCAAACAAACAGGCTGTCTTTAAAAATATCAGCTCTTCCATCATACAAAATCGAAAAGACAAATATGACCTCTGCAAATGTATTAAATTTCCTTGAAGAAATAGTTAAAAAGAGTCATATATATAATCAGGGGATTCTCTTTCTGCATATACACTAGCATCAATTAATTTAAATAATCAATTAATTAAATAATCAATTAATTTAAATAATCAATTAATTTAAATAATCAATCATTCATATGAATTAATTTAAATAATTAATTCATATGAATGATTTGCATTAATTAAATTAATGCAAATCATTCATATGAATCATACAGTAAGTTGATTAATATACACTGCCATTACAGAAGCACGGCAATGTATATAAGATGATATACAAATTATAGCATTTCTAATAGAGACTACTTTTTCGGGGGAGGGGAATTCAGACACATGTTTCAGTGTTACGTAAATTTATTTACATGTCCTGCACAGAAAGAAGTCATCAGGAAAACCCTTCAACTGGAAGAATTGGGCTTTCTTTTCTCACTGGAATCTGTAACTTAATACAAACTACTAGTATTTTAAAGAATCAGATACATGAACTGCATGACAACAGATTGGATATTCCAGGAACCTGAAAACTGTGTAACTAAAAAAATGATGCTAGCAAAAATTTTAAAAATCTTCAACTATAAGAAAGTTTGATGATTTAAATCACTTTTTTTCGACAAAAAAAAAAAAAAAAAAAAAAAAAAAAAAAAAAAATATCTTTTGCTGGATTAATAGATATTACAGGACCTTTCATGTCAATCAAAGATGAAGAAATACACTCCTACATATTTTTTTAAACCTACTACATCACACACATATTTTAAACATTATCAAATTGATAGATTAACTTATTGTAATAATGGGTTCAGATAGATCAACTCCTCTCTCAATAAATGGATCATGCTGGTCAAGAATGGCTGAATGCATTACCCATTTTGTGAGGAATTAATACATTCTTTCACAAATGCTTTTGTTGGTGTACAATGAGCTAAAAAAGTGTAATAAGGTGTAAGAAGATGCAAAGACTATCACATTTTTTCATAAATGCTCTCCAGGTGTAAGTAGTTAGCATGTCTGGCTAACAAATGGAAGATGGCTTGGAAAAACTTCATGGTTTGTATAATTTAGCTATCTCAGCACCAAGGATACTTGCTGCCCAGGGTACATCATAAAGGGTAGACCATTATTATCTCCACAAGAGAAACAGAGCACGAAGATCCCCAAAAGAGAGACAGCTGCACAAATTCCAAGCTTCTTTAGGATTCAAACTTGGGATCAACAGTGTGACAGGCAGGACTACAAACCATCATACTGAATATGGTGGTAAACTCAGACTATATAATATTAGATAAGGCCATTTTTTGAAATGTTTTGAAATGTAGTGGCAAAATAAATCAATTTAAGATTTATTTTCCTTTACAGTGCTACAACACCCAGAACATGCTTAATGTGTTTTTTTAACACTTAATAAAGAAGAAAATATGAAAAAACACTTACAGTGGACATAAGAAGTTGGACTTTTTCAAATTCTGTAAGCTCCTGATATTCTTTCAGGCTTAGATCTTTATTAATGAGGCAGTCATAAATCAATACTTCTAGAGTAGTCAAATCATCAAAAAGCTTCTCAAGTCCCTGTAACACATAGGATACTAGTTAAGTCACTGAAATTCTTAAACATGAAATTGATAATTATTTTAAAGATAAAATTGATGAAATATTGATGAGAAATGTACAGGGAAATAATTATTATTTTAAACATTTACCTACGAGATTTGAAATGTAATCAATTAAAATTTTTCTTTTTTTTTCTTTTCTTTTCTTTTTTTTTTTTTTAAGCCGACCAAAGGGACACTTTGTTCAGAAGGACTATTAATTTCATTCTGGCATTTTTTGTCATTCATTATAAAATGGCGTTTCACTTTTCGAATTCTTACCACCAAATATTGTAGCCCTGCATTATATTTAAAGAAATTAAATAATGAATGCATGAATGTATGTATGTTTCTCATACTGTGAAAAAACAAAGGTACCTAGTGACATCAAATTTTGAATAACATAGTCATCCACTCGAATATGGGCATCTGAAAGATCATATTTTGAATTTGGAGTTTGTTTTATTATCTATTTCATATTTTGTAAAACTTTAATGAATTTTTGATTAACAAACTCATAGATTTCAAAGCAAGCAATGGGAACACTAAAGGGGAAAAAAAAAATTATCTGCAGTGCATGTAGAGGGCCTTCTATTTAGTTTGCGAATATAAAATACTTTATGAACATTTTCTACACTTTTTATTCAAAATTTATAAAACTATATCGGACAATCTAAAGATGTGCTATTTTTAAATATTTTTTGATTTGCTGTTGAATTGAATTTTTATGGTTTAAGAGCAAAGGTATTATACCTTTATTTATTTATAATAAACAAAGGTAATTTAATAATAAGGTTTAAAAATGCTTATTTGAGTATAATTTTATAACTGAAAGCTTTCAGATTTTTTTTTAATTTTATTTATTTATTTATTTATTTATTTATTTACTTATTGTTGAAATACTAATCAAAATTCAAAAGTTTTAATTATATAGGCACTTTTTTTCTTTTTTGTTTTAATTCCGCTAAGATTAGAAAATAACATCCTCTCAGCTGATAGCTATGTACTTATGCTGGTAGGTCTCAGACTATCAGTATTCATGTATGAGGAGCTAGAATTTTCGGTGAAACCTTGTAGTACTATCTAACCCTTGGCCAATACAAGACTGTTTTCGATGATAAAGTAAAGGCAATAAACGTTACTTTGCAACACCTATTTGCGTTTGATTATAATCCTCCAATGATAAGTTATTATTGTAAATAAAAATTGGGGAGGAGAGCAAAGTAGTTGAGAAATGCTAGATTTTCTTATGTTGCCTTGAATGTCACAGGAAAATTATATTCCAGTGGACTCCTTCCAGTGGACCTCATAATTCAAAATAATTATGAGGATCCTCAAGTTAACCAGAGTGCTCCAAAGTGGGATGCTACTACAGAGGATTTCAAGCAATAAACAGGTACTTAACTCAAAAGACTACCAGATTATTCCAGAAATAAGACAATTGCTTTCATCTGACTACTAGGCACAATATTGCCTTTCAGATCACTTCTTCCAAACTGGATGGGCCCTCTCCATGGAGATGTTCCTACAAATGTCCTTCATATTATGTCTTCTACACTACCTTCTCGTGCAGAACTTTTATTATCAGTATTGGGATGCGTGACACTGCTTGAAGAACTTTTGAATTTAAGTAATTTTTCCTGTTTGGGTATCTTGTATTTGTACATTATACTGTATCTCATATTTTGCTTGTATTTCTTCCTCAGCCTCTGAGTAAGAGAACTTTGTCCACATGCTTTCTGCTTTGAAATAAAATACCATCTATTTGGAGGATATAAAAATTACAAAAAGGAGGGGATACTTCTTTTTTTGTTAAGTTTCTTCTACACCAGGGGTTCTCAACCAGGGGTGAATGTTGTGGGCCTTCTATTTAGTTTGTGAATATAAAATAGTTTATGAATATTTTCTACACTTTTTATTCAAAATTTATAAAACACATTAAAATCATTTAAATGTAGATAAGTATGTATATTTATTTTTCAAGTTGTGAAAGGGTGGGGTGGAATGACCTATCAATGATGAAAAAGAGTGCACATGGCAAAAAAGGCTGAGAATACTTGCTCCAGAGAGGAACATGAGATGCCTCAAAACATTCTGATATACTCATAAACAAAAACAGGTAAAGATAAAAACAACTTTTAAAGATAATAGATAAGATAAAGTAAAAATAAAATAAGGTAAAGATAAAAGTAAAAGATGTCAAATGATGTCTCAGGTGAAAAATCCCATCATCCTGCATGACAATACATAGTATCTAAATGCGATAGCTATCACAGATTTTCTGCAATGGTGACCATCAGAGGCAGAGGAATACATACCATACTCATACAATATGAATTTATAATATTTTTGCCAAAATGAAACAATTGCAACAATACATCCATTACAATAGAGCAGAGCAGGTTATCTGTACTATATGATGGTTGCTGTGAGATATCAACTGGTGTGATGGTGTATTTAATTATGGCAAAGCACACGAGAGCTATCTGCCTAAGGGAAGGGAAGCCTTCATGGAGGATTTTCTAAGGGAAACTGACTTGTATACACGTTACACATGGGGAAAACCACAAAAACACCCATGCAGCCAGCCCATTCGCGGGATTCGAACCTCGGACCGAACTACCAGTGTTCAGCAACTTTACCACTCGGCCGCTGGTCGGCCGTGAGATATCAACAGAAGTGGACATGTTGATAATATATAATATCTTCTAGTAACTTAGCACAAGGAGGAGGAATGAGGAAAATTTAGTGGTCCATTCTTTTTTTTTTTTTTTTTTTTATGTGCAACATAAAAAAGAAGAAAGAAGAAATGACGAAAACCGCAAAATGCAATATAAGGAGGGATGGCTATCTATAAAAAACGTTAAAAACTCTGATTGCCATGTGGCATACCAAACCTGACTAGTACAGGTTTGCAAGGTTATAAAGGTTTATAATAACTTACCCTAGAGTAGGTGTTGAAAATGGCCATCCTCCTAGCATATGCGTAACTGAACTCGCCACTCAGTGTCAGCTGCAACACTCCGCAATGTGTCGGCAGTGATATTTGCAGTTTCTCTAGATATGTTGGCCTTTAATTTGTCCAGTGTCAGTGGTTTATCATGATAGAAACGACCCTTCAAAAAATCCCTTTGGGGATAGAAATCTGGGAAGGATAGATTTGGCGACCATTGAGGCCATAAAGCTTTGGAAATAATGCGATCCCCAAAAAAACTCCTGATCAAATCCATACCTTGTTTTGATGTGTGGCATATGGCACCATCATGCTGTTAATATCCCTCCGTCAATTCTACATCATCAAGCTGCATTACAAATTCATTAAAAATGTGCATGTAGTGCTTAGTGTTCACTCTTCCCTCAAAAGATATTGGTCCCACAATGTAAGTGGCAGACAGAGTGCGCCAGAGTCCAACTTTGTCTGAATGGGGTGATATCTCCTTTATCGAATGTGGGTTTTCAGTTGACCAGATACGTGTATTCTGGGAACTGATATAGCTAGACAAGTGAAACTAAGCTTCATCTGTGAACCACATCAGCTCCAGAATGTTGCAGATACAGTTGATGAACAACAAGAGCCACCTATAATAGTCCACCCACTTCATCCTGTATGGGTCATACAACTCCTGTATCATCGCTACTTTGTACGGTTTCATTCTGGATGATTCTGCAGCTCTCTTACACACAGTATAACTATCAGGTGTCCTGAGATAAATGTCAGAATGGTTTTTTTGCTGACCTTAGCAAGCATTCTTTGCAAAATGTTGTAGTTTTCATCATTTCTTTTTTTTGCTGTTGCACATCAAAAAGCGGTATGGACCACTCAATTTTCATCCTTCCTGAATCTTCTTCAACAAATTGCATTAAAATGAATATGTTTTAACAAAACTACAGCCCAATGAAATCGGTCAGTTCTAAAAGAATCACCCTGCAGAAGATCTCTAAGTGGATAATAAAATATTTAGATTTTTTTCTGTATTTGAATCATGTTCTAAAAAGAGAATCTAATTTCTTACTCGGATATTCCTCTGTATTCCAAGCCTGACAAGTTCCAAAGCATTATCCACTAAGCCACTTCTGTCCTCAATTTCTTTTGCTCGTCGAATAAACCATTCTGTCACGAGTACTTCACTCAGGGACACTTCTCTGAAAAAGATGTAACTTTAAGTGCTATTCAAAGCAGTGGAGAAAAAAGATTCAAATAAAATAAAGAAACTACACTATAAATCAAAAGAGGCCATAGCACAGTTTTCGCAGGCAAGGATGTGGCTTTTATGCAAATAAAATGTATTTGTATGAAATATGGTAAATTAAAACTACTCAATGTCAAAAAGAAAGTAATTCATTCATTTAACTTCTTCTCACAACGTAATTAATAAATTTAAACCGATCAATGTCCAAACATAATTACTTTATTCAATTTCTAATTAAGACACAATAATGTTATTCAAAAACATATAAAAAAATAAAAATATTGTACTGATTCTATCAAACTTTGCAAAGAAATTCTTCCAAAATTATATTTACTTGTAGATGTGATATGAATGTTGTCAAAATTTCCTAAATTCCAACATACGGCTCTAACTCACATGAGGTTGGGCCACCTTTGCTACATACACATATCTATGTATGTGTGTGCATGTAATAAAAATTTCATGCGGAGTATGACTTTAAAATTTAACGTCTTTTGCAAAAAGATGTTGTAGCAGCCATAGCAAATTCAACACTTTTTAGTTTTTTTTTTTTTAAATAAACATATCTAGGCACAATCTGCTTACCTGTTTTTGAATAATTAATTTTACAGTTTTCACATTTTTATACTATAAAGGCCCATGTTGGTAATCAGGCCGACCTGTTCTTTAGGGTAACACTTTTGAATGGTATGCTTCAATTAATTTTTCCACAAGCATTTTACAGAATTCCAAATGGTCCCATTTTCCTCCATTTTTTTTTATATAGTACAAATGAATTCTATATGGATATATCCACAAGATGGAAAATTATTTTCTTATAATACTTTTTTCCTTGTTTTCTTGTTGTTGGGTGCTCGTGAACATGCTGGTCAAGCTGATCAACGCCTCCCATTGTATCGCTGTAATCAATTTACAACTTTCGGCTTCTTCACTTCAGTAGCATCACTGGCTGTTTTACTTGTATTTTCCTGCTGTGTGTTATGGATTGTTAAAAGCATACAGACATCTTTTTTGTTTTTCCACATCATCATGTCAGTCATCAAACAGTACCCTTTATCTAATAATGGTTCAATCAGTGACAACACCACTTGAGTTGATACTGGCATTTCTTGATATGCATCGCTCATATTCATTTCGTTTCCAGTATATATATGGATGAATATAAGTAACCAGTTTTTGATTCACAAAGAAAGTACATCTTCATTTCGAAATGAACTCGTTTCAGTGGAATATATTGCTTCCATTTTATTCGCCCTTTATACAGTAGTAGACTTTCGTCTATTGTGATATCTCTTTCCGGTACAAATAAAGAACACTTTTTATTTATATGGTCAAATACAGGCCGTATCTAAGATATTGAGCTTGGGATGTTTGTGAATCTCAGCATTGTAAGTTTTGCACTGTTAGAGAAAAGAAGACTTATTTTTATCTCAGAATAGCGACAAAAGCTAAGGAGCTTCGGAAAAATAGGCAATTGAAAATTTCAACTTTTGACCAATACATCCTTACCTAAGGCTTTCTAATGATACCTTGTTTAATATAGTAATGGCTCGGCGACCATTGGTTCTCTGACAATCCTGGATATTGAAATGCATATCTATTTGTTTCAGTCAGAATTATGTCCATGAGAGAGTTATCAAAAAATAATTCAAAGTATGAGAAAACATCATAGCAAATTTGTCAAAGTAAAAGAACAGCCAGGGTTGCCTTAAATCGAAATTTTGGTTGATTTGTACTAATTTGATACCAATTTCTTGCTATATCCATAATCTCGTCATCATTATCTTCCGATTCACTTCCATCACTTAAGAAATCAATCACTTTCATTGTTGAAACTGTCTGATTAATATGCATATTCAAAATTGTCATCATCAGGATTGGATGGATTACTCAATTATGGCAAAGCACATGAGGGCTATCTGCCTAAAGCGAGGGATGCCTTCGTGGAGGACTTTCTATGGGAAACTGGCTTGTATACACATTACACATAGGGAAAACTACAAAAACACCCATTCAGACAGCCCGTTCACGTGATTCGAACCTCGGACCGAACTACCAGTGTTCAGCATCTTTACCGCTCCGCCGCTGGTGGGCCCTGTCATCGTCAGAGTCTCTCATCATCACATAACTTTTTCTAAACAATCATAAAAATACTTAGTTAATTTGTGGTTAACTGCTTCCTTTATGATATTTATGTAATAAAACAAAGAATAACAAAGAATTTCCAACAAGCTTATAGCTAATCATCAAAATGCACCACCTGCTTTACACAAGGAAAATCCTGCATATTGGTTCCATCTATGTTAAGTTTAATTATAATCTAGCCTATCTATTTTTACTGGAACGGATCTCAGACAGGAATTAGAGAAATAAAATAACGCAAGATACAAGAGCACCAGTGTAAAACACAGGCATGTGCAAATTTGCCAGTAACTTTCGCCCGTGTCAAACACAGGCAAATGCATTAAGAGGTTAACATAAATTTTCCTCACCCAATAATATACAATTCAGTATTTGAAAAGATGCGGATAAATAAATTCCAACAATGTTAATACAAAATTTAATGGCAAAATTCCGAAATAGAAATTTAAAAAAGAAAAACATAGTAAAATTACAAATATATATGAAACAAGATACTAAAAGAATATTTTCTTCTTTTTTATAATTGCATAAAGTGTTATGATACCCTCATTTTTGAAAACTGATATTCCTTAAAGAACCTGAGTAACTAAATAGGGATCTGAAACTATTTCTTAAGTATTACTTACCTGTATTTAACTAAATCTTTATATTTTTCATAGAACTCTTCAACATAATCTTCACTACATGGAATGTTGGTAATTCTAAGAAAAGGTACAAATTTGAATTAGCAATATATACTGATTTCATATAAATTAAAATTTGATATAAATTAATAATCATTATTTAATATAAATAGTATTGTATGGGAAAATTCATTTAACACAAATTTAATCTATGCAACAATCAGCTTAGGCTACTACACTGAGTCATGATAGTATCTACCACTTCATGTAAGTGATTAATAACCCCTGTCAAAACACTTGGGAAAAAAAAAAAAGACAACTATTGCATTGAACAAATACTATGATTATCTTGATTTTTCAATAAATGTTAATCTCATGTTAACAACATAGGATTAGCTTGGGTTTATTTTTATTACATAGTTCTGCTGAAATTCAAATTAATTTTCTTTAATGATTTGACATCAATTTTCCATAAGCAAAATGGAAGCTCTTTCGTGACTAATAAAATACAATGCAATAGTTTAAAATATAATACAAATTTAGTTTATAGTATTTACTCAAAAATTATAAACCCCCTTTTTTGTTACATTTTTGTTCCCAAATTTGATGCGGTCTTAAAATTGAGTACTTAAGAAGTTTAATCATCATAATATATAGAATAATTATACCATTTAAATACTAAATCTAATTGCACTGCTACTGCTAATTATGAAAGCCATATCTAGTTTAGCAATTTCATTTTAAGCCTGCATCCACTCTACTGCTCACGGGTATGGCTTAAAAAATAGGTTATAATATGTTATTAATTTTTTGTTCTATATCACAGAGAAATATAGAATATAATTATATACACTCATTGATACTATGAAAGCAAGGAATTGAATCAAAACATGCCTTCATCAATATTCACCACATTTATTCATAAATTATCTTAAAATTTAAGGAGGTCATTTTTTTTGAATAAATACAGTATCTTACTTATTATTGTAAATTAAATGAAAGAAATATATATTGGAAATATGCTTCTAAGCCATTCAATAAAGTAAGTATAATTTTTAAAGAACAATACCAACTCATAAAAAACACTGTTCATTCTATGAAAGGAATAGTACCATACTATACATAATAAATATTTGGTTTCGCATTCAGATAAGTAGTGCTTAGAATTTTGGTGAGAAAGGGCTTAGTTAATAGAGTTATTTTATTATTATATATATGTACACTGCAAAGATTTTCTAATTACACTAAAAATTACATTTCAAAAAAGAGTTGCAATATAACAGTTACATTTTTAAAAAGGCCAATGGAAAACCACACTGCAACAATTTTCTTTTCAGCATTTAATTATTTTAGATTAAATGTCTGTATTTTTTTTTTTTTTTATTTCCATGATTTTTTGGAAAAAAAAAAAATCCTTTGTTTCAGAAAAAAAGATTGTTTTCCTATGATAATCTTTCATTTCTCTTCCACAACTTTCTAAGTCAGTGAGAACCTGATTAATCATTAACAGTGAAATATCATAAACTCCACTAGCTCAATGAACTTTTCTCTAAATTTACTATTTCTTTTTAAAAAGTCTACCTACATTTTTGAATGGCTTAGATCCTCCATATCCAGCCTTTTTTTATTACTTAAAGGGACATACATTTATTTTCTAAATTCAACAGTCATCAACATAATCGTTTATAACACTATATTTATCATATTGCACATTAGAAGAATTGATGAATTTTTTTCACAATTTCTTCATCAATAAAAGGTTTCATAGATTTATCAAGAATGTAGTAAATTTCACTGGATGCTCTTGTCATTTTGTGAAATCATCACTGACATTATATTTTGTTGCTACTACAAAGATTTCTTGAATAAAGTTAATTTTTCACATCTTATTAAATGTCACCATATAATTTGTGCTTCACAATTTCATGACAATGTATATTTTTAATATCACACTTTAATGGGAAATATTGGTGTTGATAGCTGTACAAGTAGTGTCATGAAATTCAAGCTTAATAAAACATGTAAAACTTGAATTTTAACAAATATTTGAGGAATTTAAAAATTTACTGAAGTTCAGGCAAAATCCAATTTCTGTTTGCTTTGTTATAATCTTGCTGGGCTACATAGATACTTAAAATGCTTGCATCCTACATATATTTTCATTGTTTCCCAGTACTAAGTAGAGTAAGTTAGATATAATTTTTTTTAGCCCCCCTGCCCCCATATTTTGAAGTAAATACATGGAATTATTCAACTGCTAACACTTAATCTGCTAGTTTATTATGTTAAATCAAGGAAATTATTCAATCTCAACATTCAAACATGAGAATTTAAAACCAGAAGTTTAGAGGGGACCTTGAAAACATTATTGCAACGAAAATTCAAAATAAAATAGATGAGTTAAGAATTACATGGGACACAGAAGTCCTTAATTAATATAGTTATTTATTAGCGTATATAAGCACAAAATGCACCGAATTTTAATTACACCACAGCTACAAACACAAATAAAAAATGGGAGTCCTATATAGTTATATAATCTTATATAGTTTTCCCCTGGGCACCGAGAATTTTCCAGTGCATTCCATCTCTCGAGATTACTAAAAAGCATATACGATTAAAGTTATATGACACACTCACATACACAAATCAATATCAGTGCCAATTAGAGTTATATGTGGACCGGACCGATTTTTCGCCATATTTGGTGATAATAATTGGTGAATAATTCAGTGATAAAAATAATTGATGCTATATTGCCAATTAGCCATTTAACTCAATGTTAAATGGACCTGGCAGTGCAGTCTTACTTTTCCAGCAGAGCTTCATCTTTTTCAGTATTTCAGTGTCATATTACACAAAAGATACTACAATTTTACACGTAACTTTGTAGAGACATTAGATAATTTGGAAGCATGAAAGATGAAAAATGAGCAACCGCCTTCGCCGGGAATCGAACCGCGGACGTCTGGAATACGTGCCCAGTGTGCAAACCACTACACCACGAAGGCATACCAAGAAAATGGGAGAAATACCTTATAACTTCACTAAAATTATTTACATATATAATGAATAACAATCTATGGCATAGCTGTGAACTTGAAATATGCGAGAAAAGAAGGTTTTTCATATTTCACAGTTACACTATTTCAAAGGAACTCAAAACTGATTCATTTTATAACTACAAGAATTTAGATGACTGATTGACTGAACTATTTACAGGATTCTGATGTAAAATATGTTAATATTTAGTTTGATATTCTAAATTTATTTTCTTTAATTATTTTCATTTTGTAATTTTCTTACACAATAAAAAAAATTCTGTGTATGAAAGATTTTTTTATTAATCTACGTACTTTTAAATATGATGAAAATAAAATTAATAATTATTGTGCATATTTTTATACATATATACTTAGTAATGTCACATTTATTAATGTAGTGTAAAATTAAATGCAAATACACCACAAAGTCCAAAATATAGATCCTCACCTCTGGCCAGAAAAATAAATAAATAAAATATAATAATTAAAAAAAAATCAGTGCTCCTTACAAAATCTATTAATGGAGAATTTAAAAATCAATAAAAGGAAGCAAGCATGCTGTAAATTAGATTTTTCTTCTGGCTAACTGATATTCTTGCATGTCACTATCAAACACCTGCTCACTAAAGAGCCAATAACAAATACTGATTAATGTTGCATTGATATTAGCTAGGATCACACTTTTATCCCCTTGAGCGGGTTTTTTTTTTTTTTTTTTTTTTTTTTAAGTAAAGGGATAGAAGCAACGCTATGCATTATGCTACCCGATGTAAGCTTTGTGGGTTCTAAATTTTAACCTCTCTAAATTTTAAAAATTTTGCTGCTCAATGTTCCTTTAAATGCCAAAATTTTCACCTTCCCTAGATTCTCTTGTGCGGTTTAGTGGAACTAGCTCTGGTATAAGCCTTGCTAGGAGGAGGTAGTATTCTTCTGTTTGACCTAAATAGCCCCAATGCTGCCAAATTTGCAAGTGATCTTACTAGAATAAAATTGGTGATCTACAATCCAAAATCGCCAAAGTAGCGACCATTCCAGATCTCCAATTTCATACTGCATTAATTGATAAAATAATTGAATCTTTATTAAAAAAATCTACAAATACTTATTGTAGATTAAGACAATGAAGATAAAAGAAGAATTGAATAAAAAAGTTATGCTGAAAATCATCAGGTGTGAGAAGAGGAATTTTAGAAATCTAAGTTTGATTAATTCAATAAATTTCATTTATTACTCAGGAATATTCTCATTAGCAAAGGCTAAAAATTAAAAACAGGAATATTCAGTGATCTAATGGAAGATTGGGAGATGAACAACCGGGGATATTTCTCATAAGCAGCTATGCTATTGTATTTAAACAATTTTATCCGATTTTGTAATCTTTTTGAATTTACACTGATAAAATCTTACGCAGGAAAGAAACATTTTTGTTTATCAAAATGCTTACACAAAATGAAAATAATTATCAGCGAGCATATTATATGTTGTATAAAATTAAATATATTTAAAAAATTCAAATTCAAATATTACCAATCAAATGATAGTTAACTGTTTCTAAAATGCTCTCAAATTACTTACTTTAAAACACTTTAATAATCAGTAAAAGTAATCTAAAACTCCCTTTCAGGATAAAATAAAATAATACTTATGTATTAATGCAAATATTTTAACAGAAATTGCCAAATTTTCAGAATGTGTCAAACTCTGGACACCAAGTACACAGCAGCTCTTCAGGCAACCATATGCATGGCAATTCTTCGATTTTAGAAAGTAACAATGCCATTTTCATGTTCATTCTTTTAGTTCTATTCCAAGTTTCAGTAGTATTTATGAACAAATCATTATTTTTTGTCTTAAACTCTATTTTAAACTAAGCACAAATGAGATATGCCTACAATGGAAGAAATGGCAGTAAAAGTTTTGTTAGAATTTGATAGTTTGTAACAGAATCATTAAATGGAAGAATTGCTTTGAATTCTTTAAAGCAATTGCCAAGAAATTTTCAACAGAACAATACAAATGGAAACTTGCTTATTA